ACACAGGTGTCAAAATCTTACCCACTTTACTCACTTTTTTTCAGTTTTCTGTAAAGTGCCACTGGAAGTTCTCTTAAAGTAGGGGTTCTCAAACCGTGGGTGAGGGTCCAAAAAAGGGGAACAGACGATGAAGAAAAAGAGGTAGAACGCTTCAATGGGTCATAAAAGAGTTTAAAATTTTTTTTAAAAAAGCAGTACAGGTGAGGGTTAAAACAGTAGTCTTTAAACAGAAAGTTACCCTTACTAGAAAATGTAAAAGTGGGCAAGGTACAAACCCGAGACACTCCGACTGAATATATTAAAAGTCCTTTATTGCATGAGGGGACAGCAACGCATTTCGACCAGCAAGATGGTCTTCGTCAGAGCAAAGTTTTGAGGGGAGCAGAGTGTTTAAGTGTGGTACAGTTTGTTTGACTTATTTTAGGCCTAAATGAACATTAATCAGATAAAACTGAAATATATATAAAAACATTGACATATATATGTGCCAAAATAACTGTAAAATACAAATAAATGTAGAAAATGACAAAAATGGTCTTGATTTGGTCTTGATGGGCCGTGGTTTCAGTCTTGTTTCGGTCACGACTTTTTAAAGTCTTGGTCTTATCTCAGTCTCGACTCTCAGAGGTCTTGGTCTTGTCTCGGTCTCGGGAATCTGTGGTCTCAGACTGGTCTTGGTCTCGATTAGTGTGGTCTTGACTACAACACAAGGCTATTCTAACAAGAAAACTTTTTGTGTTAATATGAAGTTTTAAATACTACTACATGTCCATCATATCTTAATGTTATATTTGGGCCCGGTCAAGCAGAAGTAAACAGCAAGGCCAAAAATTCAAGTTAATGCATCTGATATAAAAATGTATTGAACAGATACATATGTACTCTAGTTTATGAAACTGTTTACCTTTTTTCTGTACCATTTTTGATTCTAAAGTTACATACGTTTTAAACAGATCATGTATGAAACATGGAACAAAAATTGTTTCCCAAATTTCAAAGACCTGCAAATCATGTCAATAAATTGATGTATTTCATCATATCTTGTGTTATTCGATCTTTGAACTGTTGATGAAAGTACATGATTTTTTTTTTTATGTATTTAAAATGATAAAAATTAGCTTGGAAGGACTGACATATTTTACAGAAATAGTTTCCTTTCATTTTGAAGTAATATTAAAGTATTCGGAAGAAAAAAGCTGACAAATTATGCAAAATCGTGCACCTTCTACTTGCTTGCACATTTTTCCCTCTGTTACCATGACCTTTCTTAATAAAAATTCTCATTACTCAAAAAGTAAGAGGTTTTTCAACCTAATCTTGTACCATATGGTAGAAATATTGTATTGTATTGTATTTATTGCCTAAAAAGTGCTGCATATTTCATTCCCTCCGTTACCGACATGAGTTTTTAAAAAATTTTTGTCAACAACTTGAAAGAATATCACAGGTTTAACTTTACCCTGTTGGAGTGTTAACTCTTGCCTACATTCTAATACTTTACTTATTTCAATAGTCCCTCTAGTTTCTGAATAAGAGCTATTTGAATGTACAAAATCTGACCCTGTTTCCCTCCGTTACCGCTTGACCGGACCCATTTATTTATAATTCTGAAAACGGCATGTCACCTGCACGATTCAGTGGAAAGTGAAAGTTAAAACCACACAGCGAAACATTCTCTAAGGAGATAGACAAGTTGTATTTCATAATGTGGAAAATTATAGCTAAAGAAACACTATTTCCATGGAAGAGGCCAAATAAGAGTCAGGTTTGTGGAGATGCAAGCCTGCTCATGCTGACATAGAAACTGAATTGAGAACACTGTATCTGTGCATCCTCGGTAAATATGTAGACGTATGGAAGCCTGGAGGAAGATTTTTGTTTTCATAAAGGGCAGAGCACAAACCTACAAACCATAGCCACAAATATAGGCTTCTGTGGGAAGATGCGGAGAACATTCAGAGGTTTTACGTTTTTCTGTTTTCTTTAGCGTTCTGGGTTTTGGGTCAGCCACTCTCACACCATAAATCTCTTCGATCATCCTTTGAGTCATCAGTTTGGCCATAATTACAATCTGTAATTTCAAGAAGCACAAAGTTAAGTTGCTGACAATATCTTAACAAAGGTATAAATACAGAGTGTAGTTTTTGTTTCATAGTTAAGCTTACATAAATACATTTTTATTTTATTTGAGTTTATCCTGATAAATACAAGAGCCTTTTTTGTTCATTCTGAGCAGAAACTTGATGATTTTATAAGTGACAGAGGCCCCAGCTGTAGTTCACGTGTTTGTCTTACCAGAAAGATCCTGATCTGATCCAAGATTGAGTCCAGTCCTGTTGTCGTGTCCTTGAGCTAGACACTTTACAAACCTTGTATACACATTTGTTTATCACAACTGAGAGGATGGAGTTTGGAGAAGTGTGCATTACTGCTTTTCCTGTAACCTTCCACAGTAGCATCTTGCAATTTTGTTTGCCTTGGACTTTGAGTTGGGTCTCCTCTTGACAGATCTGACCTGTAACTTGGCCTGGCTTGTCTCCGTAAAGATAAACCTTACTTTTCGGACTATAAGTTGTTCCGGAGTATAAGTCGCACCAGCCAAAAAAATGTGTGATGAAGAAGAAAAAACATGTATAAGTCGAACTTTTCAGGGGAAATTGGGGGGATTGAGGGAATTTATTTTATAAAATCAGAGACCAGGAACTAAAATTTCATCTTGAAAAGCAAGAGAACAAAAGGCTGTTAACGTAACATATGAACAATTATTCAGATAACTATAGCATAAACAACATAACAAGCGTACCAAACTCTGAAAATTTTAATAGTCGCTCTGGAGTATAAGTTGCAAGACCACCCAAATCATGAAAAAAGTGTGTATGCTTATCATCTTACTGTAATAATAAAAATAATGTCTTTGATTTATGTAACACTTTTTGGACACTCTAAGACGCGTTACAGTGCAATATTCATTCACCCCTCACTCTGTAGAGCCACAGCTGTCCTGGGGCAGACTGACAGAAGCAAAGCTGCCGTCTGGCTGGAACATCTGCCCAAACCACCACCGATACTTTCATACATCATGCTAGAATAACCAACTTCAATGTGCGTGAAGGACACAGTGACAGGACTGGCAAAGGTCCTACATTACACAAAACTGACTCTTGTGGTCAGATCTCAGAAGTTCAGCAGAGCCGGACCTGGTTAGTACTTGAATGGGAGACCACTGGGAACATCAGGTGCCTCAGTGGGGTGCCAGTCACAAAAACTGCCATTGTGTCCTTAGGCAAGGCACTTCACCCACATTGCCTAGTATGGAAGTGGTGTGTGTCTGAGTGTTGGTGGTGGTCAAAGGGGCCAATGGCGCAGATTGACAGCCTCACTTCTGTCAGTTTGTCCCAGGGCAGCTGTGGCTAGTAGCTTTCCACCACTGGGTATGGAGTGAATGAATCATGCTCTGTAAAGCGTCTTTGCGACATATGTCTGTGAAAAGCGCTATATAAATAAAAAACATACTTAAACTTACTTAAGCCATGCTAGAACCTGATCAAAAACATACAGAGTTGTGTTTTGTCTCAGTCACATCTGTTTGAGTGACCCTTTATCATTAGTCTGTCTACCAGAGCCCAAAATGCTCTGTTTCTCCTTGTGATGTCATGAAGTAGTGGTTAACATTTACAATTATCCTTTGGTTCAGTAGAGATCGGCAACTGTGGGGCTGATATTATCCAAATTATTCTAGTTTCAGGCTATGTTTATATGATGACGGTCTGAACAGAAGACGCAAAAGTGGAGTCGCGTCTTCACTTTTTATTCCACGTTTAGATGAGCATTTTCAGGAGGAAATCTGCGCGCATACGGTGACTCAAAAGTGTGTGGAATTCGACTGGGTATGCATGGCAGGTTTCTGTGTACTGTATGTATGTGACGTAAACGCGTACGCGAAGTGAGCAGATCCGACCAGAGTTTTGCGTCTTGGACAGTGTAGACGGAAACACTACGGTGGAGTGTATTCAATTTTTCCACTCTGGAGGGTGGTTTCAGATTTTTGCGTTTTTAAGCCCCCAAAAACGCCGTCACCATCTAAACCAGGGGTGTTCAAACTTTTTTTCATCAAGGGCCCCAAATCTAAACACAGACGAAGCAGAAGGCTGATCGAGGGCCGTAGACTGGAGCTCAGTACAGTGAATAATTGAAATATGTCCATGTTTAACACATTAGAATGAATATAGACTGATGGCTGATTCTAAGATCTTTAAAACCACACACTAAATATTAAATATTTGCTTTATCAAGGTAGATTTTCAAAAAACTTGCTGTAAAAAGTTAACTTTTAATTGATGCAAGGTAATTTGGGCCAATTCACCTGGAAGCCTGAGGGCCAAGAAAAATTTGTCTGAGGGCCACATTTGGCCCACGGACCATAATTTGGACATGCCTGATCTAAACGAAAGGCACTTCTGATAAAATATTTTGTCATTTTTACATTCTCGCGTAAACAGGCCCTGAGTGTATAGCATTTCAAAACACAGTGGAGCACTTCCTGTATTACCGCATGACATCACAAGGTGGAACGGGGTGTTCTCTGTTTGAGAGAAAGAACACAGCCAAAATATGCAGAATTTGTGTGTTAAACATGTGTGAATTAAACAAAACACACTTCCAGGTCTGTTTTCGATTAGGAAACAACATTAAAACCGACATAGACATAGTGCCAAGCAGGTGGCGGACCCTCCAGTAGAAAAGTTAGACTGTATAATGCATCTTTAAATAGGCCCAGGCTGTGTTTATTTACTGATAGGATAATTTCTCAAAAGTCATGAGGCAAACGCGTTCATATTTCCTGCGAAGCCTGAACAGAACCGCTCTTGTGTCTCCCCCGCTGATCTGCTTTTTGCTCGGGCATTTTTTTTTTTTTTCTTTCTTTTTTTTTTTCTCGGAACACTCTCCCCTCTCTCTCTGCAGTCAGACGCTCCTAACTGGATTTTCTAATTGCCCTCCAGAGCGACCGCCGTGCGCATTAGGCTCCGGGCGGGCGGCGGGGAGTGGTGGGCTTCTGTTCCCTGCGCACCCGCACATGCACGCCCCGCTCGCCGCGCCGCTCGCCGCCATGCCCCAGCGCTACTCCCACCAGAGACGGAGAGCCAGCACCGCGGCGGGTCGGAGGATGGAGCGCAGACGGAGGGACCAGCTGCGCAAAGCCAACGACAACAACAGCAGCAGCAGCAGCAGCGGCGGCAGTGGGAGCGGGAGTGGAGGGAGCAGCGGAGTTACCGGGACGAACCACAACAACACACAGCGCTCCAAGAAACTGGCCATGCTCTCCAGGTACGGCACTTTACGAGGTTTAACTGCAGGATATCTGTGTTTGGTCACTGCAGATGGTTGTTTAAAAGCTGCAAAAGTGTTGACTAGACCTATTTGAAGTTGTCTTGCTTATATCCAGCTTTAGTCCATCCTGCTTTACTTACTTTGCTGTGCTGTTACTGATGTGTTGCTGTATTTATGAAGATGAACTGGTGTTAAGATAAAGGAATAAAGAGTGGGCATAATAAGTTCAAGCTTCAGCCTACAGCTTTTCAGTCTGTGAAATGATGCCAGAATATACCTGTGACCAAAATCAATCAATTCATTTTGGTAACTGCATATTCTGAAATCAAGTTCTTTACTGCAGAATATGGGAGGGTCTACTCATCTAATAGTTCGGATTTATTAGGCTATAGCAGAGGTGGGGGACCTGCACGTCGTGGCTTGGACTCGAGTCAGATTTGAGTCACTCATTTTTACGACTTCAGACTTGATTTGATAAAATAGACTATGACTTGGGATTCAACTTGGACTTGAAGCTCAGTGGCTTAGGACTTGACTTGGACTTGAGCCTTGTGACTTGAGAAGACTTTCTGTTCAGTCCATGATGATTAAAATCCTGACAAGACATTTAAAAAGGAAAAAAGTGCATTTCTACATCTATTTGGTTTAAAATTCATATAAATTGCAAAAATCTAAGCTATATTTGGTACTTTGGTTTAAAGACTTGAACGAAATGACTTGAAGCTCAAAGCAGATGACTTGGACTTGACTTGGATTTATGGTCCAGTGACTCGAGACTCTACTTGGACTTGCCTGTCTTTGACTTGGGACTTGACTCGGACTTGAGGTCAAATAACGACTCGGTCCCACCTCTGGGCTGTAGTGTTTTCAGGTGTCTGCAGGTTTTCTTTTAATAATAAGATTCTTCACATTTCCAGAAGAATGTTCTGTTCAAATGGTGATTTCAGTTTGATTACGAATTCATGATTAATCTTGCAACCAGTCTATATTTTCAATCTATTGGTTTTAATTTGGCATTTATTGAGTCATAGGCAACAAGAATTCTAACAGAGAAACAAACATCAGTTCACTCAGAGCACATTGTCTGCACATTGTCGGACGTGGAAGACTGTACTTGTTATTAGCAATGCCAGGAACTGAACCCACAACTTTAAAGGTCCTAAATGAGGTGAAATTGACTCATGTGAGCCTTTTGTTATAATGTTTTACCTGTTTGAGAAAAGAGCTCAGCCTAAATATGCAGGATTTGTGTGTTAAACATGTGTGAAAGAAACATAGATCAGAAAATTGCATAGTATGGGCCCTTTAATTCCTCAGCTTGGTGTGGACCAAATAGCTCAGTGCTTCTTAGCTGTTTGTTTACAGTAGGCTTAACAAACTTCAGAATTAGCACACTGGCCCAGAGCCTGAATTTGTAAGTAATCAGTTTTCCAGAGAAATCATTCCAGGGCAATGTCCAGTAATGATCCAGTCACGGCCAACTCCATCCTCCTGAAGAAATAACATGCTTTAAAGGTGCATTGTGTAACTTTTCTGGTTATAGCTTTGTCTGGAATGTTCCACAGTATAGTATTAAACCTTTTTATCTATCAAACCAAAGTTACAGGTCAGATCCGTGGAGACGCAACCCCGCTCACAGTCAGAATTTCTGTTTTTCTAGGTATTTTTGAGCTATAAAGCCACCTGTAACTGGATAAATGTAAGGTAGAGCTGATTAATGTCACATTGTGGAACATTTCAGGCAGAGCAATGACATCTCCACAGAAACAAGCACGTGAAAAAGTTACACTGTGCAATTTTAAATGTCCTCTTTGTCAATGAGCTATTCATGTCGTTTGTGGTGACCGAGACCGGAAGAGCAAACTGGAAACAAGACTAAACCACAAATTGGTCAACACAAATATTTTCAGAAGATTTTGTTCAATGTCTCTTTTGCTGCCACTTTTTTCCAATTGCATAATGTTTTTGGAAAATGTTAAATAAGCCTATATTTTTGCCTAATCATAACCTGTGCACCACTTTTTATTTTGTGTATTTGAGCAAACTTTCCAGTGCAGATATGATGTAAACAGCTACAAAATAATATGTGTACTGTGTTGTGTCTGTGTATCAGCTGGTGACATATATGTGTGGAGCCTATGCATTTTGAACTCTGGAAATGGAGACAGATTAACTAAAATGAACAGCAACTCAGTGTTTTTAATGACTAAAAATACTTTAACATGGTTCATTCAAAGGGGTCAATTAGTCAAAACTATGAGACATGTTAAAGGTGCATTGTGTAGCTTTTCTGGTGGAGGGTCTCTCAAATGCTTTACTCCATGGAGGTATTATTGCTTGGGATGTTTCATATTATGGCATTAAACCTTTCTATCTTCATGGAGACCAAACCAGACCAAGTTATAGGTCAGATCTGTGGAGAGACAACCCCACTCACAGTCAGAATGCCTGTTTTTTTAGGTATTTTTGAGCTATTAAACTAACCAAGCCACCTAGTGCCTCAATTTCATTTCTCTCCAGCGACTAGGTCAGGAATCGGAATACACTAGATGGTTTGCAAGAATTCTGGAAGTTGTAGACCGGCCAATCAGTGAAGAGCTGTGGGTCCCTGTCTGGGTCCCTTTTGTGGTACAACACAACAGTAAACAAAGTGGTCGAGATGGATGTAGACGAAGACATACATTCTGTGTTCGCAACGATTCCCGAGATTGAGGATTTAAAGCCGGAACAAAGAAAATGTTTGGTGAATTTTATGAAGGGGAAAAACTTTATTGCCTTTCTTCCTAAGGGATTTGGCGCATTACAAACGTCACGACCAAATAGCAGTAATTGGTTAATTAAAAAAAGTTCCTGCCTACCGTCGAATGAACGAATCGTAACACTGCGAGGTCAGACGGTTTCCACGAAGAATCAGGCTACTACTATTAAACCACCTGTAATTGAAAAAATGTAAGGAGCTGTTTAAAGACATACTGCAGAACATTAAAGCAGAGCAATGACATCGCCATAGAAACAAGCAGGTGACAGACCCTCCACTAGAAAAGTTACACAGAGAGATTTGGAACTTTTTTAACAGTTTAATCATGTTGTAACACTTAATGTTCTGTGAGCACTTAGACCTCATTATCATGGGATTTTTACATAATAGAACAAAAATCTGACAGACAGAGCTTGCTTCGTCCCTATTGCTCACACTCACATGACTTTACCTTCAAATACATGAAATATGTGTTTAAAAACCCATATAAAAACCAAAATAACAAAAAAATGATGCATGATGTGTCCACTTTAAAGGGCCCATATTACACTATTTTCTGATCTGTGTTATAATGTTGTTTCGTCGTCACAAACAGACCTGGAGTTATGTTTTGTTTCATTTACACGTGTTTAATTTAGGCTTAGTTCTTCTCTCAAACACAAACCACTCTGTTCCACCTTGTGATGTTACGTGGCAATACAAGAAGTGCTCCTCTGTGTTTTTAAACTCCATACACCTTCACTTGAATCATTTGGATATTTTCAGCTCTGGAATTGCCCATCTCCACTGAACTAAAGGTAACGAAAGATTGAAAACTACCACTTCATGTCATCACAAGGTGGAACAGAGCATGTTGAGCTTTGGTGATTTAGATAAATTAATAATAAATGATTAATCCAACATGGGTGGATGAAACAAAACACAACTCCAGGTCTGTTTTTGAGGAGGTCACAACATTCTAACATGGCTTAAAGCTCGCAGGAGTCAATTTTGCGTAATATAGGACTTTTAGCAGCAGAACACTCTACTGCCCTCTGTTGGTCAGTTTGTTTTTAGCGCAAAAAAAAAAAAAGAAAGATCCGAATCCGAGGTGAATATTTGGGATCTCTTTGCGGATCTCTTTTTATTTTTTTGCACTATTTTTGTCTTCGGACCCAGCACCCAGTCGCAAATTTTCTTGGATGTACATGTCTCTATCTATCAGTTTTCTTTTGGCATCAATAAACTATTTCTATCCTCTTTTTTCTGCAGGTCTTTACTCCTGTGTCACTCCAAAACAAGTGACGACCGTAGCCCAGAGGAGAGGACGCCCCGGGACATGTCTGAGGCCTTCAGGACGTGGGGGTCCGGCTGGGGGGCGGAGCTAAGTACCGGCGTCCAATCAAACTGTAGACCGACAGAGAATGGACAGGTGTGGACCAACTGTCACCCCCCCACCCCAGAGAAGCATCCAGACATGGACAGTCAGAGAAGTGATTCGTTCAGGGAGAAAAAGGGGCTCAGGAGATCTTTCAGCATCAAGGTAAACAATCAAGACAATATATATTTTTATTTTATTTTAGTTGAGCTGTTGAGTTTATTTAAAGGTGCACTATGTAACTTTTCGAGTGGGGATCTAGCACCTTCTTGCGGATATGGATATGTCATTGCTCTGCCTCGAATGTTCCGCAATATGACATTAAACATATCTAGCTTACATGTATTAAAATAAAGGTGGTTTTATAGCTCAAAAATACAGAGAAAAACAGGCATTCTGAGGGCCTGTTTACACGAGCACGCTTGTGGGTAAAAATAACAAAATATTTTATCAAAAGTATTGGAAATTTTGTTTAGACGTTGACAGCATTTTTGGGTAGCCTGATTTATCAGCCGGTTTCACTTCATGGAAACTGTCTGACCTCGCAGCATTAGGATTCGTTTGCTCGACGGTAGGCGGGTACTTTTTTTCATTTAACCAATTGCTGCTATTTGGTCGTGAGGTATGTAATGCGTCACTAACGGGGCGAACTGGTATATTAAGATTTTCCCTAATCCTGTAAGAAGAAGGGAAATAACATCTTTCCCCTTGATCAAATTCACCAAATATTCTCTTTGTTTCGGTTTTACATCCTCGATCTCGGGAATCGTTGCCAACACAGAATGTATGGCTCTTCGCTGATTGGCTGGTGCCTGGACTCACACTTCCGGGGTTCTTGTAAACCATCTAGTGTATTCCAGTTCCTGACCTAGTCGCTGAAGAGAAATGAAATTGAGCAGAGGCACTAGGTGGCGCCAGTCTGGCTAGTTTTTGGGGCTTAAAAACGCAAAAATCTGAAACCACCCTCCAGAGTGGAAAAGTTCAATACGTTCCATCGTTGCGTTTCCGTCTACTCTGCCTAAGATGCAAAACTCTGGTCAGATCTGCTCACAAAATTTGTCCCAATGATGCCCAAAAAACCAATAAACATGGATGTATTTAAGTATCTCTTCCCCCTTCCCTGTAAACATTTGTGACAGAAGTTCTTAGCTAATACTTTCTCGCTTGTCTCCATGGAGATATTATTGCTGGAATGTTCCACAGTATGGCATTAAACACATCCATGAAGACAGCAGCAAATGGCGTATCCTCCACTCAAAAAGCTACGAAGTGCAACTTCCATAGATAAATAAGTCAAATCAGGTGTTAAGTATAAATTTAGTATACTGTTCCAACTCCAATAGATTTCTGTCTTCGCATAAAAAAAAAAAAAAGGACTTAACCCGAGACTAAACTTGGCTCAAACCAGGACCAAAGTCTGAATGCACCCTAGAAGATGGTGTCTAGATTTCAAGGGTATTATGTTTGACTTTTTCATTTTATTTTATTTTTACTTAGAACCATTAATTCATACTAGTTTTAGCCAATCACAAAAAAAGAAAAAAACAACAACAACAACCACATTACATTAAGCATTTAGAATTTGGGATGGACTAGTATAATCGTATAATATCTACAGTATATGTTTATTTTTGCCAGGATTTTGTAGTTTATCTTGAGTAAGCCTGTATTATTCCTGTAGTATGTCAGGACTATGTTGTGCTTGTGTCCGTAATTCTATAAATGGGCCGCTGAGTAGAGTAGTGTAGAGTAGTGTAAGTCTTTAATGTTTATGACTTTATTGTGAACGAGCTCAGGTTTCAAAGCAGCAGTCAGACATAATGGAGAATCCCATTGGACAAGCCACAGCATTTATCTTCATTAGTCCTGAACAATATTGCAACAAGACTCAAATCAGACACAGCGGTTCATTCATTACTATTAAGACGCTTTAATTTTGAGTTTGCAAATTTTGTGTAATATTTATGTAGGAGTTATTTGCTTATTTTGTTTATTCTAAAATGTTTACTAGTTTAGTTTAGTTAATTTGTATAATATATTTTTTGCTATGTTAATATTATGTTTGTTAATTTGTTTAGTCTAATTTGCTCTTATTTACCTTCAGTGTCAATGTGTTATAAAAGTAAGGAATTACTGTAATGCATTGCTTTTTGCTGTAACACAGTAATATAAAGCATTACGGGGAAAAAAATAATATTTTACTCAGTACAAATGTCACTGATGCGCGTTACAATGCTTTTGTAGCCTGGATTGAAGTGGTGGGTTTTTTGTTTTTCTTTATACAAATTCGGTAAAATCACCGGAATATCAGCAGCGGTGAAACGCCATCTTTATGGTTCCGAGTGTTGGGACAGGCCCGGAGGTGCGCCCACATAGACCGTCGAGTGACCATGGGCGAAAGGATCAACGCAGAACTCCACGCTCCACGGGAATAATCACAGCTGACGCCCGATCATGCTTGCGGATGCCCTGCTCCACGGGCTCGGGGTTCTCTCAGGGGCGGGCCTAGATTCCAACTCCTAGTCCAAGATTAGTCCTTTGGTCATAGTTTAGTCCTGGTTTAGTCCTGGTTCAGTTTTGGTTCAGCTCTGGTTTAGTCGTTGTTTAGTCCTGGTTTAATCCCGGTTCTGTTTTGCTTTAGACCTGGTTTAATTCTGGTTTAGACCTGGTTCAGTCCTGGTTCAGTTCTGGTTCAGTCCTCGGTTTAGTCCTGGTTCTGTTCTCGTTTAGACCTGGTTTAGACCTAGTTTAGTCCTCATTCAGTTCTGGTTTAGACCTGGTTCAGACCTGGTTCATTCCTGGTTCAGCTCATTTAGTCCTGGTTCAGTCTTCGGTTCAGTCCTGGTTTAGTCCTGGTTCAGTTCGGGTTCAGTCCTGGTTTAGTCCTCTGATTGTTATTTGACGATCAGTGACAGTTATTTTGTTGAGAGTAACTTAAAGTGCTGCAATAGTCGTGTAATGTTTTACAATTTAAATACAGTAATATTGTAAAGTAACAAATTAGTTTGAAATGACAGTAACAAGTCATAAATAACACATTACAGTTTTGAAGTAACTTGCCCAACAGTGTTTACCTTTAGCACCTTTTCTGTTTTGCTTTAACCTATGTTTCACAATAAAAGAGGGTGGTACAGGTAGACCACAATGTACCTGGTTGGGCCTGTGTTTTTTTTTGGTTTTTTTTACCAGTCGACAGAAGAGGCAGCAAGAGTGGGCCTTAATCATGTATCCCTGTGTTGTTTGCCTGCAGAACTGGAAATCTTGGAAATACAGCTCTGGTCATGGATATTGATTTTGTTTTTTTTCCTTCACTGCGTAAACCACAAACCCATGGTGCCCAAAAGTGATTATTTGTGTTATGTTTAGTGCTAAGTTTGCTCACCACTTTTGTTTGTTACGTTTCTTTGACAAATAGTGACCACAATTTTAATGTCCTATAGTTTGCAAAATTGACTCTTGTGAGATTTAAACCATATTATAATGTTGTTACTTCATCAGAAACATAACTGTGGTCATGTTTTGTTTCATTCACACGTTTGAGTAAGTGTTTATTATTAGTCTGTCTGCATCTCCAAAGCTCAAAATGCTCTGTTACACTTCCAAACTGAAAATCAAACTCGATTTTATCACATGCTCCTGACAATTTTCTTGTTTAAATCTATTTTTTGTTTTGCTCTGGAGTTTTCAGACTATCTTATCTATTGTGTGCTCTTAGTCACCATGGTAACTGCTGAACATTACGCCAATAGAGATACATATAGAACCTCCCTTCCCCAGCAGGATGTCACTGTAAAGTATCAGTTCTCCTCATGACTACGGTGACTATGGCGTAGTTGCTTTTATTCAGTCTATACCAAACCTTATCTCTTGCTTTTCCTGGTCTAAACTACAGTGACTGATATCTCCACAAAGCTTGTATTATGTCGAGTAACACAGGGGCTTTTGTGTGTCTGCAAGTTGCATGTCTCCAGCTTTAACTGTATAATTACCATGTGTGTTTATTGTTATGTAACTCCATGGCTGTGAATATCAGACTGTGAACGAGAACGATCTGTTTTCAGTTGTCAATTTATTTCTATTTAACACACCAGAAAAGTCTCACCAACATCGAGAATCTGTTTTCAGGGAAGTCCTATTCCCATAGACAGAACAGAATATTATTTGAAATTAAGTAATAATGACGTGTTAAAGCACACAGACTGCTCTATTTTCTAGGTTATAATGTTGTTTCATCATCACAAACAGGCCTGGAGTTGAGTTTTGTTTCCTTCAGCACACAAATTCTACATATTTAGTAGTTCTTCTCTCAAACTGAAACTGGAAATGTTAATAAAGGAAGTGTTTTTAAACTTCGTACCCCTTCACTACAATCTTTTTTGATGATTTCAGCCCTGAAATTGCAAATCTCTGCTGAACAAAAAGCAAAAAGTAGCTGGAGATGTAGACAGTGTAATAATAAAGGGTTACTCAGACATGTGTGAATAAAACAAAACACAACTCCAGGTCTGTTTTTGAGGAGGTAACAACATTATAACATGACTTAAAGCTCACAAGACACAGTTTTATGTAATATTGGACCTTTAATACATGTGACACAAGGTTAAAGGGACAATTTTAGAAGTCATATCAGATTTAAATGCACTGAATTACTGCATTATGACTTTTTTCAGTTTGCCTTTCATTATGTTTGTAAATGTGTATCTGTTGGGGCTGTTACTAATGATTATTTTGTTGGCCTCGTCGACTAGTTAATGCTTGATGATGAATGACTATTTCTATTGTGTATTGAGATTTAATTGAGAGTAAAATCAAAGCATGTTTTTTATTATGGGTGTTTTTTTTTTGTTTTTTTACTGAGAAACATGTGCCCTTAATGGGAGTGTAACGATATTCAAGTCTCACGATACAATAATCACCACAGTATGAACATCACGGTACAATATTTATTGCGATATCATGGGAAAGCTCACGATATGGTGGTGAGCTTCACAATTAGAAATGTAAAAATATCCAAATCTCTCTGCACAATATTTTCACGATATACATCTCATGGTATGACATTTATTGCGATATTTTGTGGAGGCTGACAAAAAATATGCTACTTTTTCCTCTTAAATCTTTAATCCAATGAACTAAGACTTAAAAGTGCTTAGAACTGTTATTTCTTCATGTCGTCTGCACTGAAACTGAGCAAAGGATCATGGTCTATGTAGTTCCCTCTGTTTTTTTTTTTTTTTTAGTTATTGCTGCACCATAACTCTTTAAGCAAAGAAACTTGTGATTCGATATATTGTGATGGTTCACGATATTATTGTGAGAACTTTGACGATACAATATTTCGATTATTGTTACACCTCTAGTCCTTAACTCTGAGTGGGCTTGCATCTACACAAACCCGACTCTTACTTGGCCTGCTCTTGCTTGTTTCCATGGATATTTTGTTCCATTATCTTTCACAGTAGGTGGCAAAGGAGAAATTCAATTTTTGGATTCCACCGAGACGACTGAGGGATTTTACATACGTCCACAGTAGGACATAAAACTCATCTATCTCCATGGAGAAAGTTCCAGAATATGGTTTTAACTTTCTGTTTCAGTGGAATCAGACAGTTCACTAATCATATTTTAAAAATTCTTAACTGAAAAAGGTTAAAGATTGGCAACAGCTTTATTTATTTTATTTTTATTTTTTGATTGACATATCTATTTAATAATGCCACTCACGCTGGAGGTGTACCACATGTGTCTGTATGGATTATTCAGTAGTTACCATGGTAGTGTGACCAGGTTTTCAAACTTCAAAACTAAAATGTAAATAAAATTGTGAAAAGAGCATGTAAGATTTTGTATTCTTGCGTCAGTCATGATCTGAAGGACTTCTGATGCTGCATTTTTTTGCTTTTATGGTCATTTGCAAACATGTATTTCTGTATTTTGTCAAAACAAATGACAATTTTTGCTCCTCTTTACTGTTGGTGGGGATCAGATTAGTCAATCCTAGTCTACTAATTCTAATTTAGTTTTAGTTTAGTCCTGGTTTAGATTAAACAGTTCAAAAATAGGGACACCTGGGATATTTCTTGTATAAAACAGGGACAAATCACGAGTAAATTGGGGCGTCTGGTCACCTTATACCATGGGGACATAATGCAAACATTCGCAAACCCAAACAAAACAGCTGCAACATGTCTAAAAACTTATTAAGAAGAAATACACATGGATTTAAACAGCACATTTTCAGGAGCCTGTGATCAGTACAAGCGTTCATGGTCCTGTTTAGGTGTTTGATTTTCAACAAAAAGGTGCAGGTTTAGTTCCAACCAAATCAGCTCTTTCTGGTTAGACTGTGTTAAAATAAAGATCAGATTAAATTCTAACAAGCCTCAGATAGAGCAGTGCTTCCAGTTAGCATCGCTCCCCCAGGGCATGTTAATGACTTCATCTGCAAAGTATCAGTCTGTTATAAAAGGCCCTCTGGCATGTGTTTTAGAGTCTGTTCTGTATAATCCAGATAACAATAAAGGTGATTAAAATGCCATTAGGACGTGTAGTTGTTTATGTATGACGTGATGTGTGTGTTTGTGTGTGTTTGTGTGTGTTTGTGTGTGCAGGAGAGCAGTATCTGGCGCATGTGTGTAGCAGCTCGGCCCCAGGAGGAGGTGAGAGGGCCCCACACGTCTGACCACAGTGTGCAGACGGAGCCCAGAGACGAGCCAGCAGCGATGCACAGGTAAGAATAACACTGCACTGATACGACTACAAGGCCTGTCATGATAAAAACAACTGAAGCAGGATAAATTGCTGAAGAAAACATAGATGACAGACGATAATGTTGACAAATAACTTTATGTATCCCCTGGAGGCAACTCATTAAAACACATTAGACGACAGTAGCTCAGTAGCTCAATCCCACTGTCAACATAAACATTATTGCTTGAGCGTTCAGATTCGCTGGCTCACAGGTCGGTGGTGCAATTCCAGCTCCGACAGATGAATACTGTCATTGTGTCCTTGGGCAAGACACTTAACCCAGCTCGCCCTCATTGTCTGTGTACACTGGTGTATGAATGTGTGTGTGAATGGGTGAGTGGGTCCTTGATGTAAAGCACTTTGAGTGTCTTGAAGGTGGAAAAGCACTACATAAAAATATCAAGAAGCCACATAGTGCATACCGTATTTTTCTGACTATAAAGTGCACTTAAAAATCCTTCAATTTTCTCAAAAATCGAGTGCCTAATTCAGTCTGCCTTATAAATTAGTTCTCGTTGTGCTTACTGACCTCGAACCAATTTTATGTGGTACACAGTGCTCAAAAATCTGCCAAAATGTTTTAGTACGTCTTTCGTAAACTACGAAACCTCACCCGCTTGGATTATTGAAGCGTTACGGTTACCGTAGTCAGGAGCCTCGAGGAGTAAAGGGCGAAGTATAGGTCTGCGTCGACTCAATGCACAGTGCTGTCATCACCTTGTTGCCTTTGTTGCAGAAAGAACACATATTCCACTGAGTCATGTCCTTTAGTCCGACAAAAGTTGACCACATCAGTGCACAAGGAGCGAGCTGTTTTTTCAGCACTTATAGTTTATGCAAATTAGTCATGTGGTTTTAAGTTTTGTTTCTGTAAAACATCAATAAATGTGCACAAAGCTGCATTAAACACATTATTACTAAATGTATATTTGAGTCCTCCTCGTAGAGAAAAAAACAAACAAAAAAAACTTAAATGATCCATCCACATTCACCAAGACAAGGAGGCAACCCCGGGCAAATTACACCACGATCTGCCGATGGATCGTGGATGCCTGGGCTAAGGGATCAGTCTCACGTGTCGTCCGTTTGTTTCTCTTAATGCGCCTTACAGTCCGGTGCACATTATGTATGAAAATAGACAAGAGAATTTAACATTACTGATATTGCACCTTATAATCTGGTGTGTTTTATAGTCCGAAAAATACAGTACTGTATTTAGATATATTGTATAAGCATAAGTCTGCATCTGCTTAGAAAACTTTTTTTGTCCGACAACTAGGAAGTGCACATTAGCATGCTAGTTGTTGTTACATCCCAAAAAAACTGCGAAAAGTTGCAAAAAGCTCTTATAAACTCATCACTGTGAATAATTAGGATGCTCAGAATGCATAAGATAAGTGAGGAATAACTTTGGATCATCGCGTACTGTTTACAATGAATACTGTATGTTTTTCACATTTTTAAAACTGTAAAATCAGATAACGCAACACAAACTTTGGGTGTTTTTGTTTACATAAAAGGCTGCTTAAACTCCATGACACCCACTAAAAACGATTGCTTTAATTGTGCACATTTAATCCGACTCTCTCTGTGCTTTGTGGTCACTTATCTGCGTTTCTCCATAGGGCCGTCCTCACAACAGACAAACTGGCTCCTTTTAACGGACAGGGTCTGAGTAGCAGCGGCTGGATGGAGCTGCAGAGAGCGAGGAGTGTCCACATTAAAGCCTGCTGTGAGGTAAGAGGCAAAACCCCAGACTATATTTAAACACCACTGCAGAGAGAGAAGGGATGTAACGATATCTGCATCTCTGTGTCCGATATTTTATTTAAAATTTTGTTGAGGCTAACAGAAGTGTGAATATGCTACTTTTCTGTTATAATGTGCAATGTGTAAGATGTAAAAATGTTTAATAACAGTTATTTCATCATGTAGATTGGACTGAAACACAGCAAAGGATCATGGTCTATGTAGTTCTCTCTGTTTATAGCTGTTGTTGCATCATAACAATGAATTCAAGCAAAGAGGTTTATAACTCGATATATTGTAATGGCCCTGGATATTACTGTGAGATTTTGTTGATATTTTATTTAGATTTTAGCTTCATTTGCAGAAAAGAGACACAGGAAAATGCAGAACAACATAACACAGAACACATATGAGAACAACAAAACACACAAATAAATAAATAATGATAAGAGTAACGAATAACGATAGCACATTTTGAAGCACGATATATTTCTACAGAGACATACTGTGATAGACAATAATACAAAACATGCTTCATGCCACTGACACCAAGCAGGATCATCCCAATAAACCAGGGGTCTTCAGCATTTTTCAGGCCAGGGATCCCCAAACTGATGGAGAGCTGGAGCAGGGACGCCGTACTATATATATGACATTCAGTTGTGTTTTATCTTAAATTGGGCCTTGTGTATAAACATTGCTACTCTATTATTGTACATTCATTACTAGGGTATTCTATCAAATTCGCTTAGCAAGTCCAGGCTTATCCTGAAATCCTGAGCTGAAACTACATCTCCAGTTTAAGCCTCAACTCGTTCCATGACAGAAATCAGCATCAGAGTCTGACCAAAGATAATTCAGGCCTGAAGTTTAAGATGCACTTTGTGTGTGCTCGCGGTGACTCTGATAAGGCCAGATCAATGAAGCAACGACATCACGAAACATGGACTCAAAGTGTGACTTTTTTAATGATCTGATTAAATGAGAGAAGAGCCACAGCTCGCATGGACACGAGTTTGACATGGGCCGCGGAACTTTCCTGGTCATTCTGATCTGAGGAGCGAGAGGAAAGACACACCCCCTCCTCTCCTGTTCGCTCTCCCTCCTCTCCCTGCTGCTTTTTGGACAGAGAGGAGGCTGACTGCGTAGTGACGCCTGGGAATGAAGCTGCCTGGCCCCTTCCCGATACACGATAGTACGTGCAGATCTTAAGTTCCGCTGTGTGTAAAAGTGAAACTGTAACGGACTTCTTCACATGTAGCCTAGAAGAAACAATAAAATCCGCGCCGACGTGCTTGCAGTTTGACAAGGAGCGAGAGATGAGGGAATAAGAGAGACAGGCGTGATGAAGGAGCGCACAGATAGAACCCGCTGAAAACCAGTTCATCCTCATTCTTCAAAAATCAAGAAATATAAAAAAAAAGTATAATCAACCAAAGTTTTCACGACCCCCTTGCAGTACCTCCACAACCCCCCTACAGGTCACTATCCCCCTGTTGATGACCTCTGCACTAAACCCATTTTAAAAATGCTAAAGGTGCACTGCGCAGCTTTTCTGGTGAAGGGTCCACTACCTACTTGTCTCCATGGAGATGCTATTGCTTTGCCTGGAATGTTCCATTGTGTCCCATTAACATTTAACATTTAACATTAAGATTGAACACAACATTTACTAGTGTTAATTACAGGTGTTTCTATTGCTCAAAAATACAATAATTCCTGCTGTGAACAGGGGCGACTCTCCACAGATCTGAACTGTAACGTAGCGTAGTGCTGTTACCTGCTTGTCTCCCTCATGATAGATGGGTTTAAACTATAGTGTGGAACATTTTAGACCAAGCATTTTGCAACATTTCCATGGAGACAAGCAGGTGGCGGATCATCTAATAGAAATGTTACACAGTCCACCTTTAAAGTTTGTGTCTTAGCTGAAGAAAAATAGGCAAGTTTAAAGGAAACATAATGCAAAATGCTCACAAAACATATTCCCACAGTTATCCCTTCCAATCAAATATTGTAAATGCACAAATGAGTTTACGCTCCTATAATAAATTGCTTGTGTTGTTTTGAACTTTCTGACACAGTGGCTTATTTTACATGCACAACAACATCTGATTCTCATCCGATTTCTGGACATTTAAGATACTTCAATGACATGAAAACCACTAAAACTGATGTGAGTAATGAGAGGGACCATGATCACAAAGAAACCAGATGATTTTGGTGTTTACATGTCATTTTAATCGTCTATAACTCTAAAAATCTGAAAATAATCGTAAACACCGCAGCCAGTGTTGAGGTGGATCAGCTCAGTGCTCGGTCACATGGTGCATATTTTCCTTTTGCACTTTGTCCCTGCTCCAGCCTCAGACCTCCACAGACTTTCATGTGGCGATGACCAAAACCAGGCGAGGTCACAACAAACGCAGTCAGTCAGATTTAAAAAACTGCTGTTGGGTTGTGTAACAGCTCAGTGACAGATTTAGACTTAGATTTAGATTAATTTTGCCCTGTTTGAAACCAGAGTTGAAAGTCTGAATAAAAGTCAAAATGTCAGGACTTTTATACTTTGTTTGGCCTCGGAGAAGGAGCAGAGGCAAAAGCAAAGTTCTCGATTTACCGCTCAGTCTATGTTCCTACGCTCACCTATGGTCCCTGGTGTAGTCCTGGTGTAGTCCTGGTGTAGTCCTGGTGTAGTCCTGGTGTAGATCTCTGTTCCTACCCTCACTTATGGTCCCTGGTGTAGTCCTGGTGTTGTCTTGGTGTAGTCCTGGTGTAGAGCTCTGTTCCTACCCTCACTTATGGTCCCTGGTGTAGTCCTGGTGTAGTCCTGGTGTAGATTTCTGTTCCTACCCTCACTTATGGTCCCTGGTGTAGTCCTGGTTTAGTTCTGGTTTAGATCTCTTTGGGTAATGACCGAAAGGACAAGATTACGGATACAAATGGACGAAATGAGTTTCCGCTATAGGGTGAGGAGCTCAGTCACACGGGAGGAGCTCGGAGTAGAGCCAATGCTCCTCTACGTGCAGGAGGAGCATCTGAGGCTCGGGCATCTGTTCCGGATACCTCCAGGATGCCTCTCTGGGGAGGTGTTCATGTCCGGAACGGAAGGAGGATGCTCTCGCAACTCAGCCCCGGATAAGCAGAAGAAAATGGATAGATGGAGAAAATATTAGTTATGAAACCTTGTAGATAGACACAGGCAGACAGACAGACAGACAGATAGATAGAACATTGTCCATGATACAATAATGCATCTTTCATCCATGTGCATATCATACACCGAATAAAGGCAGTGATAAAAGTAATGACAAAGTGCTGTCCCTGTAGTTGCACATGTCGGGTTGGTTGCAGAGTTTGTGTAGGACACAGGAATGTGGCCACAGAGCAGTCAGAAAATAGCAAACCCACACAGACACATGAGAGCTGGGACTGGAGATCTGCTGTGTTCTGCACTTTAGCTCAGATTTGGTTTGTATAAATTAGGGTTTTCAAAAGTATCAAAAATCAGACACAATACACGGTACAAAAACTTGTATCCAAACCAGTTACAATCACAGGGCAGAAATGAACCTTGAACAGCTTTAGAATGATCTTGAGCTGTATCAGAACAAGTTAAAGAGCACATGAGGGATTACACAGATATACAGCCACACGGTAGTATGGTATGTTGAAAATAATCACATTCTTTTGTGTTTTTCCTGTCATTTCTTTTTTTTTCTTCATTGTGGTAGCTAAATGGGTTTGAAATTTCCTTTTCCCCAGGACATCTCCACATCAGAGGACACGTTTCAGTCTCGCAGTCTCAGCACCAGCCCCCTGCACCAGAGTTACCCCCCGGACGCCCTCTCTCTGCCCGGGTACACAGACGACGAGCTGCTGGCCAACAACAACCACCTCAAGGTAAAACTGCTTTCATTATGTGACTAACGGATTCTTCCAATACCTTTATCTGTGATATCGGAGAGTACATATATATTGCAGATATTGATATTGAACATTTTACCAATATTTGACACTGATATTTTTTCTGTGTGTCTCGGTGTGCATATGTTTCTCTCCCAGTTTGTATTCAGTGTCATTTGGAACAGATTAATGAGTGAAAATGGCAATCAAAGAGAAATTAGGCCAGATAATCCCTGATAAATATATGTTTTTATTATTTTAACGAAAGTGAATGTTCATTTGTAAATTTGACCATAACTTAAGTTAAAGTGTGGGCCTTGCTATGAATTTGTTTTATAATATCGGTACTGGCACCACAAACATTCAATATTTGACTAAAACTACTCAATTGAAATCAATATTAAAATGTTTTAAAATACTAATACACCATGTACAATGTTGTTTTTTTTGTTTTTTTTTTTTTAATTAAGCATAAATCAGTAAAAGTAATATTTTATTTTAACCTGTTTACCTCATATTTGGTTATACAGATAGGTCATATTCTGTCATGTTCATAACAATTGCAGTTTTTCATAACATTGCAATTCTAATGTGAATTTTGTGCCGTATAACCCTGCATATTATTCATTCTTGTGTGATGTTTTAGTTGCCGATTCCAGAGGTGAATGAGGACAGATACTGGGAGACAGAGAAGACTCCAGAGATCCCACCTGGACAGAATGACAACAACAAGATCAACCACACCTCTGCTGGTACGTCCTGTGCACAGATACTAATCAGTGCAGTTGATAATATAGCAAACATCCATCCATCCATTTTCGTCCGCTTATCCGGGGCCGGGTCGCGGGGGCAGCAGCCTAAGCAGGGACTCCCAGACTTCCTTCACCCCAGACACGTCCTCCAGCTCCTCCAGGGGAATCCCGAGGCGTTCGCAGGCCAGCCGAGAGACATAGTCCCTCCAGGGTGTCCTGGGTCTTCCCCGGGGCCTCCTCCCGGTGGGACATGCCCAGGACACCTCCCGAGGGAGACGCCCAGGAGGCATCCGGAACAGATGCCTGAGCCACTGCAACTGGCTCCTCTCGACGTGGAGGAGCAGCGGCTCTACTCCGAGCTCCTCCCGTGTGACTGAGCAAACACCTACTTACACAAGTTAAAGAAATGAAAATAAATACAAATAATAATAAAATAAATACATTTAAAATATAATAAATAAAAATAAAATAAATAAGTAAATAATAAATAAATAAATACCTAAATAAAATAAAATAATAATAATATTACGTAAATATTCTCTAACACATTTGCTTCACGTGAAATTCTTTACAAGTCTCATTTACATTTACATTGTGCCCCACACTATTGATATATAGGTAGATGATATAGTATAGGTGGTATAATGTCGTACTGTGGGTCACTCAAGACAAAGGAATAACATCTTCATGGAGATAAGCAGATGAAAAGTTACAAAGATCACCTTTAAAGCAACACTGCGTACCTTTCTGATACAGGAACTGCATGGCTGTACAAAAATAGAAAGTTAAAATCATACTTTGGAACATTCAGCATGAAGATAAATTATTATATTATAATATTATAGCCAAAAGAACACAATTTCTATGTAAACAGAGACATTTTGGAGGCTTTTTCTTTAGACAATGGTTAGGGATTCCTGAAATCTACTTTGCTTGACTTTCCTCTGTGTCTGGTTGCTGCAGCTGGAGTCCATCCGTACTGGATTGGAGACCTGGAGACCATCATAATGAAGAACCCAGAACTGTACCATCCACACAGGAACCACGCCTTATATGGAAACAGGAAGTCTCTGTCACAGCAGCTGGAGATTTTTCACAACAGCACACGGGTAATTTATATCTCCAATGTATGACATGTCGATTGTAGGTCAGTGTGGGCTTTTCTGTGAGTTTGTGCCTGTGTCTGAATATGTTTCCTCCTGGTTCTCTAGTTCCCCCGTGAATTTCCCCATTTAGAAACAAATAAAGGTTTTCTTACCATAAAACATTCACTGTAGGCTAATCCTCAGGCAGTAATGGGCAAAACGTATTTAGTTACAAAACAATGAATTGCATTAAAATGTATTTTGTAACATATTCTGTTTCTCGGTCACATCAGACCTCTGTATTCTGAATACTTAAAATACCTTCACACTGAGTTATATTATTGGGTAAACAACATGACATACAATTAAAATCAGTTATGTTTGTTGTACATTATACATTTATTTATCTCTAATTACAAGGAAAAATACTGAATACCAGGCAGCTTGAAGCCTAAATTGCATAATGAAGTACTGTAATGTATTCTACTGATTAGAATTAGGAAAATACCGTAAATTCTGGACTATAAGCTGCAACTTTTTTCTCACACTGCAGATAATAAATAGATGTAGTGAATATATGGACCTATTCATTGTTTTGTACATTGTCCATTCATATATACGGTCTATGGTTTGGTAACACAGCGGATACACGCAGCCTGAGTGTAGAAAACGTCGCTGTCTGTACGGTTAACACATGGAACTAGGGTTGACATGAAGTTGCAGCATTGTCAGTGCAACCAAGTAGTTTATTACCGTGTGAGAAAATAAGTTATGATACTAAATGAACATTAGTGAGTAGGATATGTCTTACCTGTATGCGTAAATGATGAGAAGAAACGTCTCAAACTTCAGTAGCCGGACATCCACTCATACCTGATTGATAGAACTAACCCCCGCCCCTGAGAGAGTCTGAAATCTGCTGAAATCCTACAAGACACTGACATGATACAGACAGGACAGAGACTCTTTCTGCAGGAAACATGTACAGTAGAGCACAGGGGGAGAATGGGATGATGCACCGAGGAAGACACGTGTTTGATTGTGTTTTGCGCTTCATTCACACACACTCCTCATGGAAAACACACAAAGAAATGCAGATGATGCAGCTTTTAATTTAAAGCCGATTGATGTGGCTGTGGAAGAAGGAAACAGCTGCTGCACGTGAGCTCGGCATCAGTGAGTCGATGGTGAGATTTTGGTGACAGCAGCACGACGAACTGACTCTATGCAAAAAGACGTCAAAAGCTTTCAGAGGCGATAAAAACAGGCGGCCCGAACTTGAAAACGTTCTGCAGCTTATATTCAGGTGCGGCCAATATACGTACAATTTAAAAAATTTGTTAAAATTTAGCTGATGCGGCTTATATTCAGATGTGCTCAATAGTCCAGAAAATACGGTACTTATATTCTCAATACTACTAACTCAGACTGCACCCGGTCCAGCTGCAGCATAGTGTGGGACTGGTTTTATTGTGACAAGAACCAGAGCTCTGTGTACTCTTGTGGTCACCGCCTTTGAAGGCTGCACAGAGACCATTTGTTCACACGATAATGATTCATTTATTAAGCTGCTCAGAAAGAGTAGTAGTAGTAATAGACTCCCAACAGAAAAAATTCAGAGGACCACTGCGAGCACCACCGGAACTGCACCTCTGATCCCTGGACTGTTGCAGAATACAGTTACTCAAAATAAGTGTTATCAATATTTATAATAATAATAATAATAATAATTTATATATATATTTTTTCTGGTCTTTCAAACTAAAATTATTCAAACATTTTTTGTCACTACCCACATGCCATAAATTACATATAAATTACATGTGAAAATCGGACCATGTTGCATTTTCTTGTTTTTAACAGGACCCTCACACATAACCTATTTCAAATTTTCAACATTTGGTGATTTCTTTTAACACTCCTAGTAAATATCTTGATTCTCAAAAAAATTTAAGGGTCTCCTACACCTACAAGTACGTTTAAAAAAGGGCTAAAAATGGTACGCCACAGAAATGACCAAGTTTTTTTTTTCATATTTAAGTTCATATAAAATGACAATGAGTTGAGATACCAAACTTTTGATAGATGTTATTTAAACACAGAATGGAGGAGCACAAGCCTACACAATTTCAGCCCTCTATGTGTGATACTTACGGAGATATCGACTTGTGAAAATGGCTGAGAAAAAATGATGTGATTTTGGGCCCGTAAAATGACACATACTCCCCTCACTAAATGAGCTGTAACTTGAAAAATATTGATCGAAAATGACTAAAATTTCACAGGGTTGGTACATGATAGTAAGGGACCAGCTGGTATTTTTTTCAAAATTTTTAAAAAACATGATGCGTGAGATTTTCTGGAAATTTGATGAAATGGCGTGGAATGACCCTACATACTTTTAGTTACTTCCCAACACTGTACTCCAGCTGGTCTCTCCTGACCAGGAGCATGGCTCAAGACTCAGCTCTAATTTATTTTATTTTCCAGTGTGTGTCTCGTCCATCTCGGTCCCTCAGTTCGGCTCAGCTCCTTCACTCCAGCAGCAGCACACAGGCTTTTATCATCTGTAACATCGTCCTCATGAAGGGCCAGGGGAAAGTAAGAGTTTTTGTGCCAGAGTCACACTTGGACATGTTTACCTACAGAGACAATAACCTACACTGACTGATCTTGGTGGTGTTTTTCTGTCTGCAGGGCCTTGGCTTCAGTATAGTAGGAGGTAAAGACAGTATGTACGGGCCAATGGGGATCTACGTCAAAACCATATTTCCTGGAGGAGCTGCTGCTGCCGATGGGCGACTGCAGGAAGGTGAGGAAATGTGTTTTTACTTTACGTCTCTGAGATAATATATTTTTTACTTTTACCTGTATTTAAAGTCATAATTTTGTTTTTCAGGTGATGAAATTCTGGAGCTGAACGGAGAGTCTCTTCATGGTCTGACTCACGACGAAGCGCTCAACAAATTCAAAGTAGGATCTCACAGATTATAATAATACTGTAATCCTCAGAATAAAATGGGTGTGTGAAGTGTCTGTCCCAAAGGATTTAAACGCCAGTGATTCTAAGTACTCGTACAGTAACTTCAATATGCAAAATCGCCTGAAAAGACTTGAATTCAGAATATTATCATGTATTTGAGCACTTTTAACATAGGTTTAAAGTGGAACTAAACGCATGTATATGGTGGTTTAGCAGCATTATCTACTGTATACATTTTTTTTTGTGTGAATGTGACAATTTTAGTTCAAACTGGGTACATATTTTTCTGCTCCAAAAACTTCAGTAGCCTCTGCAATTTCCAGTAGTTGGTGACATCACAAGAGACTGCCCTGATTAGAGACAGTTGTTTCTGATCACAAGCAACTGTCTGCAGGGACGGAGTTTGAACTGTGGATACCTGTTAGACCAGGATGTCAAAGTCAAATTCACAGAGGGCCAAAATTAAAAACTGGGACTAAGTCGTGGGCCAAACTAAATATTTATTGAAAAATTTCAACATCTGCATGTTTTCGCTTCTTTCGAGATATGTAATGTTAAACCTTTTCTTATTAAAATAAATGTTTGATAATAGTTTTGCTTAAACATTGAATCCAGAAAAACATAACATAAAATAATAACAAAATCTTAAATAAATAATGCCTCTGTAATCTATCTGTTGCTTTTGAACTCCTTTTAAATGTTTGTTTTTTTGTTTTTTTTCACATGAGTAAAAAAAGAACAACAACAACAACTCACTTCAATGAAAATCCAATCTTTCAACTATGAACAGTCAAAAATCATTAAAAAAAACAACATTAATCCAAGCTCAGTTTGCTAGACTGTGATTTACTCTGATACACATAGGTCCAAAGCAGATACAAATACTTGGCATCTCTTCTTAGATACAAGTTCATCAGAGTGGTATTATTATAATTAGTAGTAGTAGTAGTATTAGCCATAATGGAGCAGCAACCGGCAGGCCAGCTCTAATACATATTTGATATGCGCTCGCTGGCCAAATATATTTATATTTTGGGCCACATTTGCACCCCGGGTCTGAGTCTGACATGTCTGTGTTAGACCTCTCACACTGTTCCTTATACCTCAGACCCCACTCCTCCTCCCCCTCACTCTCTTCTTTAGTCCTCCAGGCACTGTCATGGCAATAACAAATTTTGAAGTACAATATATCTCTACAGCGATATACTTTGATAAACTACACAACCACTGACACAATAACAATAATGCAAGATTATCTTTAAAAGGCCTGAGCTGTAACAAATACATAGTAGAATGAACCAATATTTAGCCAAAGATATCACTTATTCAACCCTCTGCAGCTCAAATCTTAATGTTTTACAGCAAAAATACCCCAAATCTCCCCACATTGACAAAGACAATGTACAGACAATAAATATATTCAAAATACCTCAAAATACATTACATACATTCTTATATTGAAGGATAAGTGGATATAGTAGTTATAATGACAGGTAGTTGTGGACGGAGTCTAGGTTAAAAGTTAAAAGAGTAACTTTTCTGGTCAAGGGTCTGTCAAAAATGTATTGCTTTGACTGGAATGTTTCACAGTATGGCATTAAAACTTTCTGTCTTCATGGAGACTAAACCAGACCAAGTTACAAGTCAAATCTGTGGAGATGCGACCCCGCTCACAGACAGAATGCCTGTTTTTCTTGGTATTTTTGAGCTACAGAAGTACCTGTAATTGAATAAATATAAGGTAGAGCTGTTTAATGTCACACTGTGGAACATTCCAGGCAGAGCAATGGTATATCTATAGAAATCAGCAGGTGACAGACCCCCCAACTAAAAAGTTACACAGTGTACCTTTACGCTCTTTTATCTTTTCCTTGCAGCAGATCCGTAAAGGTGTTTTGACTCTGGTGGTGCGCACGAGTCTCAGAGTGGACGCCCTGTGTGGTCCCACGCAGCAGATGGCGCTGTGCCGATCTCGCTCCCTCAGCTCCACCGCCGCCGTGTCGCGAATGAGCACCGACATCACCGACCTCAGCTACCTCCACAGCCCCGCCCCTCACCACTCAAGCCACACCCATCAACTCTCTAGTCACGCCCATCACATGACAAGCCACGCCCATCGGCTCTCCTCTAGCCCCGCCCCAAACTCACTGAGTGTCCCCGAGCACAGCCACAAGCCCCGGGACAGAGTCATGATGGAAATCGTCCTACACAAAGGTTTGTTTTTTAATCAGCTTTTTTTCTGGGGACCCATATTTTAAAAGTCACAAACCTTCACAATCTGTCAATAGACATTATTCGTAAATCACAAAATAAAGGTGGATTTGACCATTATTGAACATTAATGAGGATATTTTATTGCTGACTGAGTGATCGTGTCTCTGAATAATCAGTATTACTCAAGTTTTAAATGATGAAAAACAATAATTGAACCAGCAATGAAAGGATCCATAAGTCGCCTGAAGTGCACTGACCTCTGCTGATTTAACACCCTTCTTTTTGGACAACCAAGCAAGCATTTCTCACCTGTACCTGCAGGAACACTTGTTTAGGGCACTCACCTCGGATTCGCAGACTCACTTGCTTTCTCATGTGTCAGAACTTTATATTGCAGACCTACATGGAGATCGTGCCAAGGCGACCCACAAAAATCTCTTGTGACTAGGGCTGGGTATCATTAAGAATTTGCAGTACATCTCTTGATACATAGGCCACAATACGATGCATATCTCGATACAGTGCGCTTTCGATTCGATATGATAAATTTATGTTAAACCACTTCTTGTGCAAAGTTCATATGAAACACAAACATTTTAATCATCAAAATATAATCATACTGAATATGTCAAATGTGTCGCATAAATGAGTTTTCGTTCTCTAGACAAGCAAAAAAACTGTAGCGCTGTAACAAAATAATTTAGTAAAATAAACCAAAAAATACTCTTGGTGAAATATCGATACAGCAGCCCACGATATCAATACTGTATCATCACATTAAACTATACGCGATATCGATATTTCAATATTTTTGCACACCCCCTACTTGCGACCCACCTTCTTTGAAAAACAATGTATTACACAACCGAGAGTGTCTGTCTGTTTGGCTTTTTGTTTATTTTTCATAATTTTTTACAATTTTGAAGAAGCTGCCTGAAAGAGCAGCAAAACATCTTCACTACAACAAACTTTTGTCCAGTTGACAGAATTGAACTTTTATTTTGCTAGGAATCATACCTGGACAACAGAGGAGTTACACAGACAATTTTGCCCCTTGTTATTTTGTTCCCAGTTCTGATTGGTGAGACTTTGCAGTATTGAAATTGTGTTACTGTTGTTGTGAAGTCAAACTGAAAAACACAGAAAGTCTCCCTTCCCAAATATATCTCTCTATCTCTATATAGACTGTGTAAAGATGTGGACTAAGTGAGTGTTCAGCTCCAGTCAAATGATGCTCACCAAGGCCAGCAGTTATAGGAGCGACTTTCCATACTAGGATTACAAATTTCCGGACAAAATTGTGAAATAAAACCACCAGGATCATAACACAAAAAATGTAAGACCAAAATGACGAGGTTCACAGCAGCAGTAACAGAGAGATGGGTGACAATTTTTCAATGTAAAGTCAATTGGAGCCGAGTCGGTGGTGCCAGAAGCCATCGGGTTAGCTCTGTCCATTTATATTTACAGTCTATGATTCCTACTCAAGCTGTTTTATGAAGAGTATGAAGCTAAAAGTTAAAATTTATAGTGCATAAATGAATCTTCTCTTGTACAGAACATGCAGTGACACCTAGTGGTATATCTAACTTGTTACTTTTTGCTTCTGAAATTGTATGCAAAGTCTTCTTTTTAGATGAAGATCATATAATTTGACTTTTTGTATTGTTTATATTGTGCTCAGAGTCCGGTGTAGGGCTGGGCATTGGTCTGTGCTGTGTCCCGTCCGCAGAGGGCTGTCCTGGGATCTACATCCACACTCTGTCTCCTGGATCTGTGGCCCACATGGACGGCAGACTACGGTAACATTAAACTAACATATAAGAAAGAGTTTACGATCTTTAAAGAGGGGGTATTGTGCAAAACTGACTTCGAATAGTTTTGTTTTTTAACCGTATTATGACGTTCCCACGTCAAAAACTTGCCCGAAAAGCTTTTGTAGTATGTCATGCATGTTTGAGTAATCTAGCGATCTCTTCCAGGCTCTATTTGAACCCTCCTTACAGTTAGCAGTACGATTCTGTCCAATGCTAGGGCAGACTAACATTTTTTCCTTCATATCTGTTCCTTTCTAATCATGTACATTCACATTATGAATAGTTATTAATTGTGCTACAGTCCATTTTCATAAAAGGAACACGGCAATTTTCCATAAATATACAAACGCAGGGCACAAAACAATACACTGCAACTTCACAAACCTGATTTCATGTCACTAAATATGTTTTGTGTTAGAAGTTAATCCCCCGTACAAGTGTAATACCCCATCTTCAAATTGTGATCATATTTCAGTTTGACTGTAACACTAATGCCCCCCCCCTCCTTCCTCATTTGCCCCTGTAGGTGTGGAGATGAGATTATGGAGATCAATGACACAGTGGTGTATAACATGGCTCTGAACGACGTGTACACTGTACTGAGCCAGTGCAGCCCCGGTCCAGTCCACATCACCATCAGCAGACACCCCGACCCAAAGGTACCACACAGTATTTATTTATTACTGTCTCAGATAATATCACAGCATTTAATAAGCCTAAATGTTTACTTAAAGCCACACTATGTAATCTTTTAGCAAAAAATAACACAAACATTTTCTCATTTTGATTGTGTTTGCGCCCTAACTGTGAGCAAACTTGCCTCTCCACAAACCTGACTTGCTAACTGCTCGTTTTCCATTAATATTTTGGCTATAATTAAACGTATCTATCTCCATGCAGAATGAAGTGCGGCTTTAATTTTCTATTTCCATTGAATCGTGCAGGTAACATGGCATCTCCTTAAAGTTACATATACTGTACCTTTAAAATCGTAAGGATGGAAATATATGTATTGTTAAAAGTGCACTGCATAACTTTTCTGGTGGATCTGCGGGTTTTCAGAAAGATTCAATTACTTAGACTGGAATCAGTGGTGTAGTGGGGATTTTTTAAGTGAGAGTATGCGATTCGTGATGTCATCGATGTGATGGATCCACCCCAAAAGCCATATACTCAACTTGAAATTTCGAAATACACACAGGTGCCATAAAGATTGTGTCATAAAGACTCAGTTTCAGTACAAACATAAAGGCGTCAGCTCAGTAAAAATCTGTAATATTTTATGTTTTTTTTACTCAAAATGATGCGGAATCATGTTATGAATATGAACACCATTCATAATCACCTACAGAACATAAATCACAGGCTACAACACATGTGCCCAGGACTGAACCAGGACTAAACCAGGTCTGAAACAGAACTAAACCAGGACTAATCTTGGACTTGAGAGTGAGAGAGAGAAAACCCAGAGCCCATGGAGCAGGGTGTCCACAAAGCGCGATCGGGCGACGGCTGTGCTTAGCCCTGTGCAGTGCGGAGTTCTGCGCCGGTTCTTTCTCCTGCAGTCACCCGACAGTCTACATGGGCGCAGCTCTGGGCCCGTCCTGACACTCAGTCCTCTTTCAGTCCTGGTTCAGTCCTGGACCCCTCATGTCACTATAGGACAGTACTGCAGATATCAAGCCTATGCAGGTTGTTGTCACCATTGCCAGTCACTCTGGTTTGACATTTAAGTTGTAGATATTTTATATTTGTTTTTTGTTTTTTTTATATCTCACATCGGGAGAAGTGGGCAGACGGCGTACCCCCACGTACCACGCCCTCTACACGCCTGTCTGGAATGTTCCACAGTATGATACTAAACATTTCTATATCCAAGGAGACAAGCAAGCGCAACAAGCAGCCAAAGTTACAGGGTAGCTCTGTGAAGAGAAGACCCTGCTCCTAATGAGAATTTAGTGTATTTTGTAGCAATCAAACAGCTTAAAAAAAAAAAGAAGCTAAATAGACGAGTTTAATGCCGTGGTGTGGGACATGTCTGGCAATGCAATCACATCTCCATTTGTATTTTTTTAACTCTTTTGTAAAATTACGTGATGTGTGAGCTACTCTGTCCAAGTAATTTCATTTGTAGATCAATAAAGTGTGTCTATGTCTAAGTCTGAAACAACAGGTGATGGACCATTTACCACAAAAGTAACATAGTGCAGCTTTTATATGGTATTTTATCCCTTCAGTTCAAATCGTTTTACAGTTTTGAGTCTGGGAGGGCAATGCTCGGTAACAGTGAATGCTCCTATTGTGTTTCGCGTTTTAAGGCGTCTCGCTTTAATAATTGTAGTAACACACTTGATGTTATTTGTCACTGTCAAGTCAAGGAACGGCCCTCAAACTTTTAGCTACAAATGCTGCATTCATGTGCGTGTGGAAAGTTGGGGAAACCGCCCAACTTTCTGACCTCAAACGCATCATCAACATTAAGTAACTGACTCATTCATTTGAACACATGGAGACTGGCTTAAGACGGGCCTGCTGCACTTTACAATGGAAGAATGGATGAGCTAACTATTATTGAAAAGTATGACAAAAATATATATTCAAGCTTCACAATAAAAATCAGATGACTTTGGGACTCTTATGTGTGTACAGGTGTCAGAGCAGCAGTTAAATGACGCCATCGCTCAGGCCGTGGAAAACAGCAAACTCAGGAAGGACAAGAGTCAGTGGAGCATTGACAGTGAGTATATTAGAGATTAGAGGTTGCTGGTTCATTTCTGCTTCCTCAAATGGATACTGGTGTGCAATAATTTTGATAAATGTGGATAACCAGTTTCCCCAGGTGCCACAGTGGGGCAGCAGTGGTGTGTTTGTGTCCTTAGGCAATGACCTGGTATAAAAGTGGGGTGGGAGTTTTTGTCTGTCTGTGTGTCAAATGAGCTCTGTGTTTTGAAAAATAATTTCCTCTCCAGAACAATAAAGTCTAAATGTTGGTGGAGGTCAGAGGGGCTGATGGCGCAGATCGGCAGCATCACTTTGGTCAGTCTGCCCCAGGACAGCTGTGGCTACAATAGTAGATTGCCGCCTCAGTGTGGAGTGAATGAATAATACACTGTAAAGCACTATATAAATCCAATCCAGTTTAGTCTCTCTTAAAAACCCAGTAAAATGTTTCTTTGTCTATTCCTTTTTGCCCACTATCTGAAAAGGGAACTATCAAGCAGGATCAGTTTGTATTCCAAACTAGGATTTAATATTTTTCAGTCAAATCCCGTTACAAGAGGACTCATTTCCCAGGAATCCCGAGAAATACCTGCGGTTGTTTTTGTTCATTTTTTGGAGCCCAATTAGGCTTTATGTACCATATTTTTTAGACTATAAGTTGCTCTGGAGCATAAGTTGCACCAGCCAACAAATGCATAAAGAAGGAAAAGAACATATATATGTCACACTGGACTATAAGTCGCACTTTTTAGAGGAAATTTATTTGATAACATCAGAGACCAAGAACAGACATTTCATCTTGAAAGGCAAGTTCTCGTTCACTCCAAACTTTCTTTCTGTTGCTCGATTACCATTTTAAATTTCCAGTGATACAGAAGTAATGGTGCGATCGACTGACATGATACCAGACACAAGACAGCTGCTCTTTCTGTAGGAGACATGCGTAGATGATGAAGTGAATCCTTATGACCATAGTTACAGCGGCAACGTTGCCTCCATCAACATTACTGTAAAATAACAAATAGACTTGTACCATAATTTTTTTTATTAGGCTATTTTCTCACTTTCCATTCATAGCCTTTCTCGGGAATCGACTAATAGTTTTGATCAGATTTCCCAGGAATCCCGGGTCCTGGGATTAAACCCTATTCCAAACCCACAAATAAAATAATAAACCTAAAACTTACAACCTTTTAAGCACATTCCTCTGGCCTTTTTAGGGGTTAACTTCAAGCGTAATATAAATATTCATGCCTTTGTGTTGTAGGTCTTCGTAAAGAGTCGTGCTCGTACAGGCGGCAGAGGTGTGACGGGTGTGTGGACCACAGTGTGACTCAGCTCAGAGCTCAGAGGACCATGACCAGATCTTGCAGCGAAAACACAAACTGCAGAGACCACACCCGCTGCCCCGCCCTCCTCACGCATCATCAACACCACAGCCAATCAGCAGCCAGAGTGCACAGCCTGGACACGCCCACGGTAAGGACAGCAAAGTCAATACATGCATCCCAAATTTTGGTCGTCCGGTCATCACGCAATGCATACTGGGAAGGGCCCTCTGAAAAAGTGAACATCAGACGGCTTGAGAAACGGGTTTTGGAAGTTTGCAAACTCCATAAGTGCAAAAGGGAATCAGATTTTTCAGTTCCGTTGGAAAGGGAAACAGTTTGAGGTTTGCAGTCACACAGGTCTGATTCCCTTTTGCATTTATGGAGTTCACAAACTTCCGAAGCCCGTTTTTCGCTGTTAGGACATCCAACAACCACACAATGACGATGTCTGAGTCACATAACTAAAATATGACAATATCAGAACCAGAAACAAAAGTGATACGGTTCAAAAGACTTGAAAAGATCAGCTTTGACAATAGATGCATCCCACTGGGAAATCAAACATGGCGGTTTGATGCTCACTTGTTCGGAGAATCCTTCCCAGTATGCACTGCACGATGACCGGAAGTCTTAAACTCGTATGTATGTAATCTGATCGACAATATTACAGTATACAGTAATAAACTCTGAAAGCTTTAGAGGTGTTTTAATTTTAAGGTGTTCTTTGTAACTTTTCTGCAGAAGGGACTGGTACCTGCTTGTCTCCATGGAGATGTTATCGCTTTGCCTGAAATGTTCCACAGTGTGACAATAAATCTGTCTATCTAGCTGTTTTTCAGGTAGAGGTGTTGTTCTTTCTTTTTACAGTCGATGTCCGAAACGTGGTCAGACAACAGACTGTCAGTGCCCGTGTATCCAGATGAAGATTATAACATCCCATACAATTGTGCCCCTGCAAACAAGACCAGCCCCCTCACCCTGGACCTGGGAGTCAGGGGCAACAAGGTAGTAAATAATATATCTGACAAAATATAGTAATATCAGTATATATTTTAAATCTTTTGAGAAAGTCTTTCGGTGGTTTTCAGATTCTAGTGGGCGGCAAGAGATAGTTTTCTTTATTTATTTCAGTGTACTTTTGCCATGAAATATCCATGAGGTAAATAAACAAAACTGAACCTGATCATTTGCATTTTTGACCAGACCCAAGATGCAGATATTTCGAAATATTACAACAAAAATCGGCATTTTAGCAATTACCGTATTTTTTGGACTACAAGTCGCTCCGAAGTATAAATCGCACCAGCCAAAAAATGCGTAATGAAGAAGAAAAAATATATATAAGTCGCACCGAACTATAAGTTGCACTTTTTGGGGGAAATTTATTTTATAAAATCAGGGACCAGGAACCAACATTTCATCTTGAATGTGGAGTTATAGTAATAACAATAGAATAAAGAACAACAGGCTGAATAGGTGTCTAGTATGTTATCATAACATATTAACAGTTATTTAGAGAACGAGAGGATAAACAACATAACATAAGTTTACCAAACTCTCCATCTCACTCCAAATCACTAAATCCATTGAATTCTTCATCCTCTGTATCACTTCTGAGCAACTCCGCACTCGGTTGTGGAGTCCATGCTTTGTCATCCATTGACTTCCAGGAAAGTTGCACGGCGCACCCGCCCAGTTACCACGAAGCTGTGTTCTTCATTCCCGCTTTCTGCCAGTCCCTCACAAGTTTCTTGCTCACTTCAAACTTTCTTTCTGCTGCTCGATTACCATTTTCTGCTGCATATTTCACTACTTGTAGCAGGACAGCAGCTTTTTCTGCAGGAGATATGTGCAGAAAACTGACACACAAGGCTAGAGCGCCCTCTCGTGGCTGTCAGTCACCCAAGGAGACACCCAAAGCATGAAAAAAAGTTACTTATAGTCCAAAAATTACGGTAACCATTTTAGGTAGAATGTTTTGATTTCATCTGAAACTCTGCAAGAATTAACAAAAGCTTTATATGGACAATGTTAAATGAATCCTTTTTGTTATTTTTTTCTAATTTTTGTGTTTTTTTTATTTTTTATTATTATGTTATTATTATTATTATTATTTTTAATATTACATTTGAATTATAAATCATGAGTTACGCCCAGCCAGTTCTTAGACTTACTCTTACCTGAATAGTAGTTTCACCATTTCATTTTCTTTGAGTCACTACTTGAGAGAAGAACTTGAATAATATTATTTTGAAATAACTGTTCTCTTTCTTCTTTTGGCTGCTTTAACACCTTTACTAACTCATATCTCTTATTTCTGTCTCTGTGTTTGTAGTTTGTCTGCAGTATTTTTAAGGCCTTGCAGAAACTCCTCAGGTTTATACTGAGGAACGTACGTAACGCCTCTGTCTTAATTGTCTCTGTCTCGAAGCTTGGGGTTCTGTTCTGTTTTCAGTTTAACACTTTTATAAAAGTGAGAGTGAAATTTTAACACCTTTGCACTTGACAAACCCTAGTTTCGCAAAGCTGTATGTTGTGCTTGTAGCTTTTTTTTTTCCATAAAATTTATTGCATAGGCCCTATATACAAATGCGTTATTTTAAACATACTGTACATACATGCAAACAGATGAACAACATGCACAGATATTACACATTATAGGGCTAATTAATTCATTCAGATTGATAATTCAAGTTCTTTATAAATTTATATCATCTAATCTTGTAGCTAGTGCATTATTGATACTGTGCAGTGACTGGTGATCGCGCTGGGGGAGTGCCGCATGTACATGTATGGCAGAATGTTTAGAGATTTCCATGGTGACACAATGCAGACATTAGCAAACACAGCCAAAAATAGTTGATGATTCTGATTATTCAAATGATTTTTTTTGTTTTTTTTGTGACACCATGCATTTATTCAGCATTTCTCTCTCTCAAAAAAACAAAAAACACAAACACTGTTATTGATAATTTATGCAAAACTTTCAAATTGAAAATGAATATAGACTACAAATATGTAAAAGAATGAGAACTTCGCACATTGATTACTTGACACGAGTGCGTTAGAGGAGAGGGAGCAGCCCAAGAGCATAGAGAAAAATCCCACACACGTCTTACTAGCAAAATGTGAGATTTATTTGGATAAACCGTGCAAGGTTTCGGCACTAGGCCTTCATCAGGTAAACAGAGTGAGAGCTCCGGTGGCCTGATGAAACCTGGTGAAGGTCTAGTGCCGAAATTTTGCACAGTTTGTCCTAATAAATCTCACATTGTGCAAGTAAGACAGTGTGCAGGATTTTTGTCTAGGCCACAAATATGAACTTTTGCGATGTATAAAACAGAAAATGAATAAAATATACTTTAAACATGAAATAAGGCATAGAAAATCATAAATATATCCAAAATAAACTATATATCTAGCTGATCTACAGTTTCTACACTTTAACAAATACAATAAATATACTTATTTATTTAAAAAAATATCCCAAAATAAACTTAAACTGAAATCGTTTCAACTCTGTTATATGAGTTTTCAAGATCGTTTGACACTCAAATTGAAATCGCGATCAAAATTCAATTAATTGCATAGCCTTAAGTGGTTTCAGGTTGGCGCCACCTAGTGTCTCCGCTCAATTTCATTTCTCTCCACCGACGAGGTCAGAAATCAGAATACACTAGACGGTTCGCAAAAACCCCAGAAGTGCGAGTTCGGGCACCAGCCAATCAGTGAAGAGCCATACATTCTGTGTTGGCAACGATTCCCAAGGATTTAATGTTAGAATAAAGAGAATGTTTGGTGAATTTTATCAAGAGGAAAGACGTTATTGTCCTTCTTCCTACGGGATTTGGGAAAAGCTTAATATACCAGTTAGCCCCGTTAGCGGCTCTTTACATACGTCACGACCAAATAGCAGCGATTGGTCAAATAAAAAAAAGTACCCGCCTACCTTCAAGCAAACGAACTCTAATGCTGCGAGGTCGAAGGTCGAGGATGACTCAGGCTAACAAATATGAACCTTAGAGCAGTTTTGCCATGTATAAAACATAAAGTGAATAAAATATACTTTGAACATGAAATAAGATATTCAAAAACATAAATGTATCCAGAATAAACTATACATGCAGCTGTTCTACAAGACAAAACAAAACAAAAAATAAATATACTAAAAAATATCCCAAAAAAAACGTAATCAAGCTTAAATCATTTCATCGTTTGACACACAAATCGAAATTGTGATCAAAGTTCAATTAATTGCACAGCCTTAGGTAATTTTATAGCTCAAAAATACCTAAAAAAAACCCAAAACAGACATTCTGACCGTGAGCGGGGTCGCCTCTCCACAGATCTGACCTGTAGGGTTTAATACCATACTGTGAAACATTCCAAGTAAAGCAATTACATCGTCATGGAGACAAAAATGTAGGCAGACCCTCCACCAGAACAGTTACACGTGGTGTTTTTAGTGGCATGCATTTTGATCGACTGCATGTTAACCCCTTCTGTTTGTGTCATTATAAACCCTTTGTCTTGACTTTGATATTGCAAGATAATAATGTAATGTGCAGCAGTTTGGAGAGGAAACGGGTTGCACCTTTTTGTGGTTTGAGTCTTGACTTTGTGTCACGCTCACTTCCTGTTTGTTTGTCAGGAAGAGGAAGAAGTTCACGACGATTCAGGGGTTCGAGATCTGAGCTCCTGCAGTGAAGACGTCGATCTCCCCGCAGGTAAAACACGCAGCAACTATGTCAGTTTCATTCAGTATAATTTGGTGCAATTTAACGGTGCATTGTGCAACTTTCTGGTGGAGGTCTGGTGGTCACCTGCTTGTTTCTATGGATTCGTCATTGCTCTGCTTAGAATGTTCCACAGTATGACATTAAACAGCTCTATCTTACATTCAATTACATTTAGTTTTATAGCTCAAAAATACCTAGAAAAACAAGTATTCTGACTGTGAGTGGAGTCGCCTCTCCACAGATCTGACCTGTAACTTGTGGTTTGGTCTCCATGCCGATAGAAAGGTTTAATGCAATACTGTGGAACATTCCAGACAAAGCAATAACATCTCTATGGAGGAAAGCATTTGACAGACTCTCCACCAGAAAAGTTACACAATGCACATTTAAAGTGCATATGGTAGATTTTCATATTTTCTTAGTTATTATATGGTTTGGTGAGATAATATCTGTCGTAAATATTTATCATAGTATCATAGTACTTATCATAATTTTACATCACTTAAGCGACAAAAAGTAATTTCAAAAGTACAAAAGTACAGGAAGTAGTTCTAAAACCTCAACGTACCAAAAACTGCATCTAAAATGAAGGGTCAAAAAAGGCATTTTTCACAGTTTAAACCTTCATTTAACTACGTAAATAAAGATGGTGTAATTTATTTTTATTAATCTAATCATAACTATTGTGCAATTTAGAAACATGTTGATCTTTGTTAACATTTTGGTTGCTAGGTAACAGGAACTGTATGTATGTCATATCCAACTAGGAAGTAAAATTATAAACTTCAGCAAAATTTATTGTAATTGAATATAATTATATTAACTATGCTTTAGTGTAACGAGAAGTCCAAACTTTCTCATGCAGTTTGTACACTGAGCAAGGATCCATATGACACTATTTTCTGATCTATAATGTTGTTTTCTCCTCAAAAACAGACCTGGAGTTGTGTTTTGTTTCATTCACACATGTTTAACACACACACTCTGCATATTTAGGCATATTTAGTTCCTCTCTCAAACCGAAAACACTAATACAGGAAGTGCTCCACTGTGATTTTAAACTTCACTAGAATCATTTAGATTTCACTCCTGGAATTGCCAAACTCTACTGAACAAAAGGTAAAAAAGTAGCTGTTAATGTGAAACTTTTTTTTTTCTTTCTTCCCACTACTTTTTGGGCCAATTCTTTAAATTTATTTATTTTTTATTGTTGTTATTTCTGCTATGATTTCATTAATGTTATATGTTCCCCTGTAAAATAATGTGAATTTCTTAATTGCCCAAAATAAATACATACTAATAAATACTCAATCTCAACTATCGCTTCATGACATCACAAGGTGGAACAGAGCATTTTCAGCTTTGGAAATGTAAACAGACATAATAAATGGTTGCTCAAACATGTGTGAATGAAACAAAACAAAACTCCAGCTATGGTTCTGAAGAGGTAACATCATTCTAACATAAATTAAAGCTCAAAAGAGACAATTGTGGATAATATAGAACCTTTAAACTTTATATTACTAATGGCTCAAACAAAGTTGTCAGTGCAGTTTAACAGGAGGTCTGGTCAAGTGGGGTCAGCAGATCCTGTGTCCAGTTTGAGGAGGATTTATCTGCCCGCTCGAACGGCACGGCTACGCAACATTACGAGGAGTGCTCAGAAATGCATTATAAATTACATTGAGCTGCGAGATCTGATGGTTTGGGCTATAAATGTCCAGACAAAATGGATTACAGCTCCATCAGTACCAACGCCAAATGCTCTCATTCAATGCAAAGGGACGGGGAGATTTTGGTCTAAACATAAAAGCGGAAAAAATGCCAAATTAATATAAATATGTAAAAATAGAATGTTTACTTTAAGGTGCATTGTGTAACTTTTCTCGTGGAGGGTCTGTCAATTGATTTTCTCCATGGAAATGATATTGCTTTGTCTGGAATGTTTCACAGTATGGCAAGGTAAACCCTTCTATCATCATGGAGACCAAACCATACCAAGTTACAGGTCAGATCTGTGGATTGGCGACCCCGTTCAGTCAGAATGCCTGTTTTTCTAGATATTTTTGAGTTAAACCATCTGTAAATTAATAAATGTAAGACAGAGCTGTTTAATGTCATGCTGTGGAACATTTCAGGCAGAGCAATGACATATCAATAGAAACAAGTGCACTTTTAAAACCACATTGTGCAACTTTTAGCTAAGAAATAGACTAAAACAAGCACAACAGAGATAGCAACCTGGTCGCCCCCCATGAGGCATCGGTGTGGTCAGTTCATCACCACAGAAGCAGCTTATGAGGAGCCCAGCCCATATCACATGATCGTTATATCCACAATGCAATGTGTGTATCTGTACAGGCCCATGAACATTTGTGTGATTTTAGTCACATGTGAGAGTGTCTGTGTTTACTAGCATGTAATGAAAATGTCATTCTTTTTCATGAGTTCTGTATATGTTAGTTCTGTGACGGTAGAGCAGTGTGTTGTCTATCACCAGAAAAATGGTATACACTGAAAGAGAAAGGAACTGTTATAATTAGTGATTATCTCGAAAATTATTAATATTTTACTATACAAATGAATAGAATTAGAAATAGATAATACTGTTTCTGAGATTCTGAGACCACTCCTGTTGCTCTACCTCGATCCTTCGCGGAGTTATGACCCAAAACGCATATTTGACCTCAGTTACCTTGACCTTCAAGTGACCATGACCGGTTTCAACCTGTAACATCCGGTGTACCCCGGTTATGTGTGTGCCAACTTGTGTGATGATTGGGTGAATATTTTAGCCCGCAGATGGTTCAGAAATTGCAGAAATTGCTGATCCTCTCAAATGACCTCGGATCGTCACCAAACTTTTTTATTTTTATTTTTTTTTGTGGCATCGGGCACGGGGGCTTGACCCATGTACCAAATTTGGTGACAATCGGTCCATAAATGACAAAAGTATCGTGGGTGGACAGACACACAGACACACAGGGTGAATACAAAACTTGGTCAACCCTTCAGGGACCAGGTAATGAAAGCTTTTTTGGTAGTTTTTTTTAATTGCACTGAAAAAACATGCTTCCTCACTGTAATCAGGCTTGCATCTCCACAAACCTTACTCATAATTGGCCTTGTTTCCATGGAAATGTTGTTTATTTAGCTATAATCTTCCACAGTACGACATGAAACTATCTCCATGGATAATATTCTGTATATAAGTATGTCTTAAACTTTCTATTTCAGTGGAAACATACTGTACATTTAAGTGTTTGTGAAGTGAAAACATAAAGCCAACTTGGCAAATTTACATTCAAAAGTCTTAGTTAGTTTTGTTAAATGTCAAATACTGTTGAGACACTTGATGCTAATTGAACCTTATTTGAGTAAGCCTTTATATTTAACAAGTTGTGTGAAACTTGAGATTACGAAACAGGAAGTCTCTGAGATCAGTTCCTTCTTTTGGCTGCAGCAAATACCAGAAATATTCATCTAATACATTTGCTTCTTGTAAACTGTGTGTCTTTTAACCTCACACAAATGCATTAGACAGTGGAACATATGTGGAGCTGATTCAGATTCAGTTTGCAGTGTTGTAAGAAAACAGAGCCTCAAACACTGCATAGTAATGATGTGAAGTGCAATGAAAAGCTGTGAGACCCCATTGCTGTTATGTAGTTCTCATCCAACAGCATCTCTGATTGGATAAATCTCTCAATCTCAATTACTTCCTTATATTTCCTTCCTTACAATAAACTGGATGAGGTAAAAGTTATTTTTCCTGAACTATAAGAAATAAAAGGAAAGTGGTTACCTTTAAAGAACAGTTCTGAATTTTGGACATAGGACCTCATTTCCTAGTGAGCCAGAGTGTTGGAGACGTGTGGAGACACTTTTTTAAATATTCCATCCAGTCCTTGTATTTGCAGAGGTCGCTGGTACTAGGCTAGTGCATGTCAATGGCCATAGTTATCCTGCCACTAAAAACAGTCTTACCCACTCCACAAAACACCCAAAACAAATCTGTTATTACACCAGACTGTCAATGTAAATGTCTGTGTTCATACTGTAGAATAATGTTTGAAATAAAACTAATCTTGCATCGCATGTTGAGGGACTATTTTCTCATATATCAGTCCGCTGCTGCGGCAGGCTAACTATGGCCATTGACATGCACTAGCTTAGCACCAGTGACCTCTGCAAATACAAGGACTGGATGGAATATTTAAAAAGTGTCTCCACACGTCTCCAACACTCTGGCTCACTAGGAAATGAGGTCCTATGTCCAAAATTCCAAAGTGTTCCTTTAAGAAATCCTTGTGTGTAAAAACTGCAGTTTCAGGATTTCTTATTACAGGTCGTATATTACACAAATTTGACTCTTGTGAGCTTTAAGTCATATAATACTTATAATGCTGTTACCTTCTCAAAAACTTACCTGGAGTCGTGTGTTTCATTCACACTTATTTGAGTAACCCTTTATTATTAGTCTGTCTACATCCCCAATTACGGAGACAAGATGAGACTGGCTAAAATTTGCGACAGTGTATTATCATGTGTATTGTGTATTGTACAGTGTATTGTATTGTGAGTGTAATGTTCTGGACATATAGGGTCAGATTCAGGATTTGGGACAGCAGCTTAGATTTCAGTTTGATTTCTCCAAAGCACAAAATGCTCTGTTCCACCTTGTGATGTTATGATCTGGTATAGTTTTCAAGTTAATGGCTACTTTTTACCTTTTGTTTAGTAGAGACTGGCAATTCCAAGGCTGAAATTATCCTAATGAGTCTAGTGAAGGTGTATGAAGTTTAAAAACAAAGTGGAGTGTTTTCTGTTTGAGAGAAAAAGCCTAAATATGGAGGTGTGTGTGTTTAAACATGTGTGAATGAAACAAAACACAACTCCAGGTTTGTTTGTGATGAGATTATGATTATAACATAGATCAGAAAATAGCGTAATATCGTCCCTTTAAGTTACAAGAATGTTATTGATGTTCATCTCCTTGATATTGACTTCTAATACATTTTATCCAAAATCGTGACTAAAATCCATCTGTGTTTACTTTTGCATTTGCGTTTTTGTGTACAGGTGATTCCTCTCTTGCCTCTCAGAACAAGAAAACAGCTTTGAGGAGACAGGGGCGCGTCGACTCACACACCCCAGAACCGCTGCACGATCCCTGGGTTCGCCTTGCAGACTCGTCCCCTAAGAGAGACCCACCTCTGGAGCTCGGCCACCTCCCACTGTCTACAAGCACCACCCAGTCCGTCCACAACCAACCGAAAACCATGAGCGACGAAGAAACTCAGCTCGATGTCAATGGAAATAATAGTTTTGATAAAGACAATGAAAATAAGCCTGAAGTGGCCTCTCCTCCGGCAAAACAGGGGCCTCCAGTCGCTCCGAAACCTGCCTGGTATCGTCAGAGTCTGAGGAAAATCCGAGAAGAGCAAGATCAGAAGAAGTCAATCAAAACTAGCTCTGATCCACCATCTTCAGTTGGCTACAGCAGGAGTTTTGGCACCAGGGGGCAGACTTCTAACACCAACCTTTCCATAAGGCAGAAAATACACAGTTTTGAGACATTTTCAAGCCAAGAAAGCCCGGAAAAAGTGATTGGCACTAAGAAGCAAGTATCAACCTCCAGTTCACTTCCAATGATTGAAAAAGAAGCAAAAATTAAGTCAACAAACGGCAGGAAGAAAGACGAAACCAAAGATGTGAACACCAATGAATCGGATGCAAGTTTGTCGACAGAAATTGTAAAAGATGATTCAAAAAGCAATTCAAATTCAGAACCTACAACTGATCCATGTCCAGAAGTAGCACAAATAGAACAACTTTCGCTCACGGTAACAGCAAACGAAGAAACAAAGGATTTACATTTAGTAGAAGAAGAAGAAGAAGATACAAAAAATGATGCAACGGAGGAAGTTTGTAAAGGAGAAACTTCAGATGAGGCGATGGTGCAATCAGTTGATGAAGAAAAGATACCGGAACCTGTTGCAGATATTGAAGATCAAACAGAAAAGTCACCAAACTCAACACCAGCTGACAATGGTGTTTCAAAGGGCTGTGAAGAGAGTCTGGGGAAGATCCTTGCCTTCAGTAACCAGGTATGAACATATACAGTAGTTACACAGAATAAAATGTGTATGTGTATTATAATTAGGGCTGGGTATCATTAAGAAGTTGCCAATACGATACATACTTCGATACATAGGCCTCAATATGATACGCTTTTCGATACAGTGTACTTTCAATGCAATACCATTCATTTATGATATATTTCAAATTGATTTGATATGGTTCAGTGAAACATAAAGCCTAAATCATGGCTGTGATACTAAAAGTCTACAGCCGTATTTTTCGGACCATAAGTTGCTCTGCAGTATAAGTCACACCAGCAAAAAATGTGTTATGAAGATGAAAAAAACATATATAAGACGCACGAGACTATAAGTCACACTTTTTGGGTGAAAATTATTTTATAAAATTAGATCTGGAACCGACATTTCATCTTGAAAGACAAGTTATAGTTAATAACAATAAAACAGAGAAGGCTGAATAGGTGTCTGATATGTTAACGTAACATTAACAGTTATAACTATAGCATAAACAACATAACATAAGTTTACCAAACTCTCGATCTCACTCCAAATCACTAAATCCATTGAATCCATAGAATTCTTCATCCTCTGAGTCACTTCTGAGCAACTCCGCGCAACTTCGGTTGTCACTGGAGTCCAGGCTTTGTCAATCCATCCAGTGACTTCCAGGAAAGTTGAAGCTGTGTTCTTAATCCCGGCTTTTCCCCAGTTTCTCGCTCACTCCAAACTTTCTTTACGGTTTTCAGATGCATATTTCACTACTTGCAGCAGGACAGATGCACTTTCTGCTCGAGACATGTGCAGAAAACTGACACACAAGCCTAGAGCGCGACTGTCAGTCTGAAAATTTTTATGTATAAGTCATACTGGAGTATAAGTCAGAGGACCACCCAAACCATGAAAAAAGTGCAACTTATGGTCCAGAAAATACGATAAGTCTGTGCAAAGTTAATATGAAAAATGTCCATTTTACTCGTCAAAACAGTGAAAATGTCAACACAATTGTAGCTCTTACACAAAAAAAATTGTCTTGGCGATATATCGATGCAGCAGCCCATGATATCGATATTGTATCATCAGATTAAATGATACAATATATAGATTTTTTGATATTTTTGCACACCCCTAATTATAATTACCTTATTTTTTACATTTTTAAAGTGGATTATATAAGTTAATCGTGTGCAGGGTCCAAAACCTTATTGTGCCCATGGAGATGTCAGTGTTTTGCCTGAAATGTTCCACAGTATGACTTTAAACAGCCAATGTATAAAAACTTTATCTCCATGAAGCAGGGGACACTACTAGACCAAACTTATTTTGTATTTTAAATTTTAAAAAAATGCCTGTGGTTAAATACATGCAAAATATAGTAGCTGAATGCCATACTGTGGAATATTCCCAGCAAAACCTTTAATTAACATCTCAAGGAGACAAGCACAATACTTAACATGCAAGTGCACCTTTTAATATACAGTATCTGCTGTTTGGAAAGCTAAGTTTGTGATGAAAAATTAACAGTATTTTCTGATTTGTTATTGTTATTATACACTTTATAATGTGATCCATCTTTTGTATGAATGGCTTGGCTTGATAAAATGTTGAATTATGCTGAAATCATGTCAGTATATTTTTTAAAACTATTCTATTCTACTCTCCAGTTTGCAAACTAAGTCAACTTACCGAAAAAATGTAATTTCTGAAGTTATTTTATTGTTTCTCCTCACAGGTGTCCCATGCTCTGATGCGGTCTCTCCCTCACAGTTCTCCTCAGTCCCAGGACCATCCGGAGTCTGAATCCAGTGAAAAAACAGGATCTGAACCAGGACTGGATTCTGGCTTCTCTGTCAGGTCAGACTCTCCTCCTCAAGTCCTTTTTATCTCTTAATACAAACTGACAAATTGATTAAATTACATCATAGTATTGACACACACTTGCATTATATTACAGAATTCTGATTTAAATGTCACTTACAACTACTTTATTTGTATCTCATTCATATCAGTGTCTCCCTAAGTGAAGTCAGGATTTTGAAACTTCGGAAAAAGGGTCTATCCTGCAACTGTTTAGATTAATTAACACCCAAATACTAATCAATACTAAAACTGATGAAGTAGTGAATAATTTTCATTGTTGATAAAAGACAATATCACTTGAATAAGGCAAAATTTAACCTTCCTAAACAGTTTTAGAATGGTATCTACAGAACTAGACCTTCTGATATCATTAAATAAACCATTATTTTCTTAACCTTGAGTTTAAAACTTAGTTTGTCGAATCCATCATTTGTAAGAGTAAATTAATGACAGTGAAGACTTACCGTACTGCTCAGGATATTCATGAAAGGAATCTGCTCTTAAACTACATGAGTACAGTGTTTGTTGCAAAGTGAAAGTGCTAATTAAGACATTGCACCATTTTAAAAAGCAATTTTATCTCCCTTCAGTTTGGCCGTGCTGAGGGAGTGCTCCATGAATCAAGGCGAGTCTTCAGGAGCTGAGTCTTCAGGAGCTCAGTCTGTGCTCTCAGTTCTCCCCTCACAGGAAGTACAACAGCTCATACAGGAAGTGCAAGAGCTGGACCCAGAGGAACTCAAGGTACAGTGAATATATTCAAGGAACCATATGTATGATTTTGATGTTGATAAACTTTACTTGTCTGTGTCTCCAGATACAAGGACATGTAGACATGTTCAAATTAAATATAGTTTTTACTGAGTGCTGATTTTTTCCTGATTACAAAACAAATAAAGGTGGTAAAGCACCTTCTTTAGTTCTCAAGAGAATTATCCGGACAGAAAACATTTGGGTTGCTAGTTTCAATGCTGAAATCCAGTTGGTTTAAACCCAAAATGCCTCTCTCTGATCACTACCTAAACCCCAAGCCTGATTCATCAGCTGGTTTCACTTCGTGGAAAATGTTTGACCTTAGGATCCGTTCGATCAACGATAGGCAGGTACTTTTTTTTTTTAAACCAGTCGTTGCTATTTGGTCATGCCGTATGTATTGCGCCAAATCCTGTAGGAAGAAGGGCAATAATGTCTTTCCCCTTGATAAAATTCACCAAACATTCTCTTTGTTCTGGCTTTAAATCCTTGATCTCAGCAATCGTTGTCAACACAGAATGTATGTCTTTGTGTACATTCATCTCGACTGCTTTATTTACTGTTGTGCTGTTCCACAAAAGGGACCCAGACAGGCGCTTGAGTTTGATGTTATGGCTTCACAGCTCTTCTCTGATTGGCCGGTGCACGGTCTACAACTTCTGGGGTTCTTGCAAACCATCTAGTGTATTCTGATTCCTGACGTAGTCGCTGGACAGAAATTAAATTGAGTAGGAGGCACTAGGTGGCGGCAGCCTGGCTACTAAACCCCAGCACGTGCAGCCAAATATGGACCAGTGCTAGTCTGGAGGTTCTGAACGTGAGACATGGCTTGTCCATATGCTAAGATTGAGAAAAAATTGTCTGTGTCTTCTGTCTGTGGGGTTAGACATTTGCAACCCAAGTTCAGCTGTGACTGTAGTATATTTTTCAAAACTGTAAGAGCAAAGGCTAAATACAGTTCCTTTACTTTTGTGTGTGTCTGTATGTGTGGGTTTGTTTTTTCACCCTCAAAATCATATAATTTCTTTGCATCTGCAGCAGTTGGAGGACATCCATGTGGTGATTCTGCACAAAGAGGAGGGTGCTGGACTGGGCTTCACCATCGCTGGAGGCTCAGACCTGGAGAACAAGGCTCCTACAGTAAGAACCGCTCAACATTAGTATATTAATAAGATTTTAATCAAATCATGATTGTGATTGAAGAGTCAAGTCTGTCATTTTACACCTTAAAGGAGCTGTAGATGTCTTAAAAATGTGAAATATAAAACTAGTTCATTTTATACAGTTTGCAGCGGTCCAAAGTTATTCGTCACTTATCATTCTAAGCTTTCTAATCATTCAGTGATTCGCTCATTTCTGATTAGATGCATATAGCTATAGCACACAGCAGTCTGATTTTGACCCTGAGCTGCCTTTACCATATATATGTACTGTTTAAATTTTTGTTATATTTAATTACAAGGAACAAAATCTGCTCTACTCATTATTATAGTACTATGCAATGTTGGTTTGGATAGAAATGCCAGAATGCAGCGATAATACATCAGCTCCATCTGGTGATACTCAGGCTCTTCTATGGTTTGGGGTTTGCTTTATTTAGAGTCTTGGTTAGTCTTGGTCAGAACTACTGTAACAGAGCTGTAGTCCCATTTTGAGACAGTATTTAGCTCTAATATAGATCTAAAATAGTCTTGGTTTAAGATCTGGTGGTACTCAGAAAGACATGTTTTTCCTTTGGAGGTACTTTTTGAGTTATAATGTATTCATGTGTTTTATCTTACGGTTATATGCAAATTTGTTTGGTTTGGTGGACTTTTTCTCATTCATTCAAGACATAATATTTGGCTTTAGATTGTTAATTGCTATGACAACAGGTCTAATTTTTCATCATCTCATCATGAAAGCCATGTATTCAATCCAGTCCACTTTATTTCTACAGCACATTTCATAATGAAAGACTATTTCCAAAGTACTGCACATAGAGAAATTTTAAAAATCTAGGAATCAAAAAGTTACACAGTGCACCTTTAAGTGGGTTTAGCCTGATTGCTGTATTCATCTCTGCTTCCAGGTCCACAGAGTTTTCCCCTCCGGTCTGGCCGCTCAGGAGGGCACCATTCAGAAGGGGGACCAGATTCTGTCGATAAACGGGCAGAGTTTGAGCGGAGCGACGCACATGGACGCCACATCAGCTCTGCGCCAGGCCCGGACCCTCAGTGTGGCAGTGGTGGTGGTCTGTAAGAGACCAGACGAGGAGGACGGGGGAGAGGAGGGCAGGGAGGAGCTCTGCCCCTGCTAATACAGGTAAGTCTATCCGAGGATCCTGTGATTACATTATTTTCTCATATTTAAATTTACACATGCAAAATTTGTTTTTAACGCTTCTTGACCACATCATCCTGGTGTTTCAGTGGAGCAGGAGGACGGTGTGATCACTGTGACTGTGGACAAAGGCTGTGGAGGAGTGGGCTTCACTTTAGAGGGAGGCCAAGGCTCCATCCACGGAGACAAGCCTCTGGTCATCAACAGGATATTCACAGGTACAATACATGCATATATAAAACATATATGTTATATATGCTGTTATGTATGTTAAGTAATATATTTATAATTAAATTTATGTTGATCTTGTAATATAATTAGTCGAGATTTCAATTGTCAGCAGTCATTTCAACTGAGACAATTTTTAAGATGTGCACTGACACAGTGAAAGACAATAGCTCCACCTTGTGGACAAATGTCAGAAGCACATACTTTTCCTTCAATGGTTCATCTGTGCTGAAGTATTGTACAAATACATTTTATAGTAGTAGTCAAATACATTTCTGATATAACCTGGCTCATGCCAAATTGATATGTGTAGCACTATGAATTGGGGGTGCGTCACCTTTGGTTTCTGTCCAATCACAATGCTGCTCTGTCACTGGTCTAAACCACTGATGGGCCTTTTTTGTGAAAATCCAAAAAATCCCAAGAATTCATTTTGCTGACCAGGTTATCTGTGATAATGTTGTACTCAAACTGAGGTAATACTTTAAGTGACAAAATGTGACTCTTTGCGTTATAATGAAACACATTTGATAAAACCGAGTTCCTCATGTGTTGTTTCCAGCTGGAGCAGCAGAGCAGAGCGGCCTTCAGCCTGGAGACGAGGTGGTGACAGTGCAGGGTCTGAACGTGGGTCACATGACCCGCTTCGAGGCCTGGAACTACATCAAGGGGTTACCTGAGGGCCTCATCACGGTTATGGTCAGGAGACAGGCCCAGTAATGTCTCCAAATGAGTTTACAGTGGAGTTATAAACGTTACATTTGTCACACATTTTCCCAAAGACTTGAATAATATGTGGAGTTTATGAGCACAAAAGGGCACTTAGCTTCAGGGTCCACAACTGTATATTCAATTTCAAATAAAAAATAAATAAATAAACCAGTAAAATACAGTACAATAAAATGCATTTCTAACTTTGTAAATCATCAAGTTTAAGATACACTTTTCAGTAATGTTCATAATCTTGGATGTGTTAATGTAAGAAAATACTGCCTGCGACGGAAGACTATAAATAATATATATATATGGCTATAAATCTGTGCTATCGGCCTCTACCATCGGTCAACATCACATTTCTATATTCATTCATACACTATTGATATGTTTTTAACTCTTTTTGAAAAAAAATATAAACATTTTACCTCCAAAACTAGTATTAGTGCTGCCCATCGATGAGCTCCAACAGAAACAGTGTTAATATGTTTTTACACACATCTCAATTCAGGTCCTTCTTGGTACAATTTTATTTATGTTATGCCATTTCACATCATTAACAGATCATGTAAAAGTCAAGAGGATAATGAAAAAATATGTTTAAAAAGTATTTATGTTTATTTCAAAGCAAAGTCTAAGATTTAATAAATTGTCCGAGAAACCAACATGCGTCTCTTGTCTTGCCTGTAATGACCTTTTTACTGATATAAAACATTTAGCTGTTAATATAATTTAAAATAGAGGTGAAGTAGATATTTTTAGTCAATATATTAGTTAAATAATAAAGTAATTATTAATGGTTGCATAAATAATGTATAATCTTCCACTATAAATTATGCACAAGCTATAGAGATTTTGAGTTCATCCAGAGCTCATTCTCTTGCAAATTTAACTTTTTTTTTTTTTTGGTTGGGGTCTGTCACCTACTTGTTTCTATGGATATATCATTTATCAGTCTGGAATGTTCCACAGTATGACATTAAACAGCTCTATGCCACATTTAATTCAATTACAGGTGGTATTATAGCTCAAAAATAACTTGAAAAACACATTCTGACTGTAAGCGGTGTTACCTATCCATAGATCTGACCTGTACACAGTCTGATTTACCATACCATACTGTGAAACATTCTAGACAAAGCAATAATATCTTCATGGAGAAAAGTATTTGACAAACCCTCCACCAGAAAAGTTACTCAATACACCTTCAAGAATATTCATTAATAGTCATTAAAGAATACTACACACTCATTGTAGTATTCTTTAATGACAAGATGTGGAAATTAGTTCTAACGGCATTTTAGCTGGAGGGTTTGTTTATCTGTTCACTGTTCCAAACAGGACACGAGAATTATTACTGCAATTTCCAATCATGTCCAAAAAGTCCTCTCTATTGTTCTACCCGAACTCTGATTGTACATGTGCGTCTTTTCTCTATAAATCTCATAATGAACCTGGAGATTTGACTTGTGCCATTTGTGCTCAGCCTTTGGCGCTCCCTTTTCTGTGCCCTGATCGAGTTGTCATTCCGTCACAGAGCTTTTTACCTATATTTAACCATTTTAACCTTCATGTGGGCAATGGTGTCCAGAACATTCGGAACACGCGAAGTCACAGAGTTCAACACATCATCAACATTAGAACATGAAGCAGTTTCAAAGTGTATCATTTCCACGTTCACAACAGTGCACCTGTGTTATCAATTATGTGTCTTCTTTGAACAACTGTAGGTCCAGCCAGTGGTTTGGGAATAACAAACAGGTCAAAAAAAAAAAAAAAAAACACACAGAAATGATCAGACAGAGCAACATCAACCACACTGACATCTGAGATATTTACACCCTTTGCACTGAGCAGGTCCAGAGTGTGCCCTCTGTTGAGTGTGGGCTCACTGACATGCTGAGTCAGACCAAAAGTTTCCAGGACAACACTGAGCTTTTAAGCATTTTTTTTTTACACATTATCCACATGTCTCCACTCTGGAGGAGGCCGAGGTGGTTGTGGTGGTGCTGTTGGTGGTGCTGACACACTGACTGGGTTTCTGGTTGGCTCAGCAGGAATGTTTCTCTTATTCCTCTTTTCTCTCGTTGGCTGCACAGGACCCTGTCCAGGCCGGTGCTTCAGAGCGGAGGAGGTTTTCCGTCAGCACACTCACTCCACCTCTGCTCAGTTGCGGACCATTTCCCTTGAACAGGTCCTCTTGTTTCCAGAAAAGATCAAAGTTCTCGATGTAGTGCAATCCTTTGGGCGCATGCGTTGAACAGCCACGTGTTCAGCTGAAGCAGCCAGGTACATTTGTTCATCTTCCTTCGGTGTTAGGAAGAGGTCCACTAATGGAGGTCTTAACCCACTTTATTAAGCTCCTCGAACAATCTGTTTTCAAGACTTCACTCTGTTCCATTCTGATCTCCACTGCACCCACGAGCACAATCAGCTGTTTTGGCAGGAGTTTTGTAATCTCAGAAACATTGTAACTGTTTTTTCTGAAGACGATCCATTTTCGGTTTGTACGTTAACATCACAAAAACATCTGCTCATCACAAAAACTGTTAAATAACTATACTGTGAAATATTCATTCAAATTATAACCATAGATGCAGTCTTTACAAAGAAAGAACTTGAAGTAACCACACACAGTCTATATTATTACACATATTATTTATCTCACATCTCACAATTTCATCTTTCTACAAAGTAAACCTCTTTTTCTCATGTGACCCACAAATGAATCATGAGCTTTAGATTTCACTAACTGGCAGCAGGAGGTCGCTCATTACCTCAAGTCAATTTCACCTAAACTCTGGAAAGAGGCTCAAGACCAGTGCCTGTGGACTCACTGGAGAATTTGGACAACTTCATAGGCCTATAATGTCAAAGCCTAGAAAGCTGCTCAAAACACACCTTTTCCTCATAACACATGATCGCTCATCATTACTGTTTCATCTGTCTGTCCTTGTTTTTGTGTTACTTTGTTGTGAAGTGTCTTTGTGTTATAGTGAAAAGCGCTACATAAACCAATGTATTATTATTATTATTAAAGATATATATATTTGGAGATTCTCTATTGATCCAAACAGGAAAATGAGTCCTGTATTTAACTCATGTTTTAATACTGTTTTGTCTCACTGTCTCTTCACAGAGCTTCATCAAACCGAGGCAACCATCTGAGCCGACATTTACAGCACCAAGGCAAAACCCATCTCCATTCTCCAGATGGTTAGTGCTTTGGATGGGAGACCACAGGAGACGCAGGTGTTGTAGTGAGGCAGCAGTGGCTCTTATGCATACTGCTGTTGTGTCCTTAGGCAAAACACTTCACCCACATTGTCTAGTATGAATGTGGTATGGAAAAGAACCATATAAAACACACTACCAGTCAAACATTTGGACACACCATCTCATTCTCGTTGAAAAAAATAGTATACATATATTAGGGATGTAACAATAACCAAAATATCGTGATATCGTATCGTCAAAAGCCTCACAATAATATCATGGGATGTCACAATATATCAAATTACAAGTTCCTTTGCTTAAATGCATGTTTTTATAGTAACAACAGCTTATTAACATTATATACTACATATCCCATGATTCATTTCAGTGCAGAAAACATGAAGAAATATGTTTTTTACGTGAATTCTTGGGATTATGACACAAAATAATTCAAACCAAAATCTTGTCAAGGTATTTTAAAAGCAAAAAAGTGTCCTATCTACAATTATATCAGCCTCTACAAAATATCGCAATAAATATCGTACCGTGAGAGATTTTGGATATCGTTACATCCCTAACATATATATCAGAAATAATTACTACATAATTCTAATCTTCCGTCACATATTCGATGTCTTCTGTGTGTATACAAATCGAAGAAATTAATTTTTAAAAAGATAAATAATACTAATAATAAATAATAAATAATAATAATTATAATAATAATAATAATAATAATAATAATAATAATAATAAATAAATATAATATAAAATGCAAATAAATTATAATTTAATAATAAAAAAAATAATAATAAAAAACATTAAATAGGACAGTGTGTCTTAACTTTTGACTGGCACTGCACATTATTTTTTAAAAAAAAATAAATAAACAGGCAAAATAGTGATCCAGTTTGGATTTATTCAGACATGCTGTAGTTTACACACACATGCCCTGTCACGTAAAACATAAACATAAAACAATATAAATGAACAAAATCTACAGTACAATTATTTGGATTGATTGGTTGATTAGGAGGTATACAATAAAGGCAAAAAAAAAAAGTAAAAAATTAAAATAAAAGTTAAACTAAAACAAATGTGTCAAAACGATATATGAAATACTTTTACGTCGTGGGTTCATTGCATTGTTTCTTACAGATAGAGTTATTATAAGTTAAGGAGAGGGCAATATGACAAAATTAAACTAAGGAGAGGCACTGGGTAGTATAAATAAAAAATTACAATTTAAAACTCTATATTTTTGGAAGTATCAGATTGGTTTTGAATTGTTAATAGCACAACAGAGTTAATTTTTTCTTTTTTTATTCCCTGTGCATTAAACTGAAAAGTACTTACGGTAATCACAATATCCATGGGTTTCAGAGTGGTGAAAAACGAACAACATAGTGATTAATAAATAGTTTAAATGTTGAAAAGTACTCAAAATGGCGCCTATAAACAGGAAACTGAAACCAACTCAACAAATTAGCAAATCATCTCAGCATCAGATTACAAATAGTCATATTGCCCTGCCTTGTTATGAAGTAACTGAATACATGCACAGAGAATACATTTTCAGAATACATGTTTTGAGTAACTGTATCCTAGAACCGTTAATTTTAAAGATACACTAAGTAACTTTTCTGGCTTCTGTAGAAATTTTATTGCTTTGCTTGGATTGTTCCACAAATCTTCCATATATTATATTACTGGTGTCTTTATTGCTCAAAATGCCCTGATCATAAATCATGCATTATTATTACTATAGTCTAAATTTTTAATGTTCCTTTAACCCATTCATTTTAGATTTTTAAATAATTTTGTAATTTCTTTGTAAGAAATGGAAAAGATTCTAGAGGCTGGTTCCATAGCCCTCCATCCTGTCTCATCATCCTTATCAATCCACCACAATCCACAGAGCAGGATGGGTAGGGATTGGAACAAAAACAACAATTTGGGCAAAACATTCATTCTAATTACTTCTACTGTATTTTTCGGACTATAAGTCGCACTTTTTTCATGGTTTGGGTGGTCCTGACAGCTGCAAGAGGGCGCTCTAGGCTTGTGTGTCAGGATCTGCTGCTCCTATTACTCCTGTACCACTGACACTTCACTCTACTGCGCATGTCTTCTGCAGAAAGAGCCTCTGTCCTGCTGCAAGTAGTGAAATATTCAGCCGAAAACTGTAACTGAGCAGCAGAAAGAGTGAGCGAGAAACTTGTGAGGAGCTGGAGGAAAGTGGGGATGGAGAACACAGATTCACAGCAACTGGCAGGGTGCACTATGCAACGCTCCTGGAAGTCACTGGATGGATCGACAAAGCCTGGACTTCAGTGACAACTGAAACCATCCTGTTGGGATTCAGAAAGGCCGGAATAATTCTAAATGGAACTGATGCTGAGTCTAACAACAGCTACACAGACCAGGAAGCGGCGCTCTGTTTACCTCCAGAGGTTGAGGAGTTGCTCAGAAGTGACACCGAGGATGAAGAATTGAGTGGATTTAGTGATTTGGAGTGAGATGGAGAGTTTGTTAAACTTGTTCTGTTCTGTTGTTTATGTTATAGTTTATCTGAAGAACTGTTCATATGTGACATTAACAGCCTGTTGTTCTCTGTTTTATTGTTATTACTAGAACTTGCCTTTCAAGATGAAATGTCAGTTCCTGGTCTCTGATTTTATAAATAAATTTCCCCCCAAAAGTGCGAGTTATATATGTGTTTTCTTCTTCATTACGCATTTTTTTGGCTAGTGCGACTTATACTCCGCAGCGACTTATAGTCCAAAAAATACAGTATTCGACCCATTAATGTCAACGGGAGGATTTCCCATCATTTCAAATCTGCTCTTATTTATTTTATAACTTTATCAGAGTTACCGTTAAAAAGATGTGATGTATTCTTGGTAATATTAACGCCCAAATGTCTATCTTGTGAGCAGGGGTCTCCTCTCTGCAGACCTGACCTGTAACTTAGACTACTGGCGTTATCTTCACAGAGATATGTATATGTTTAATGCCATATGGTGGGACATTTCAGGCAAAGCAATAACATTTCCATGGAGACAAGATGGTTACGCAGTGCACCTATAAACTTGCCGACATTCAGAATACAGATACACAGTGATAAATAAAAGTATAACAAACAAACAAACAAACAAACATAAAACTGTTTATAATTGTTATGTTGTCTTTTCTCTAATGCAACTCAAAGTAAAACTATTCAGAACACAGTACTCTGATTGAACCATGTATCAGAAAACATTGCAAAATATAATGCAGATTTCCAGTATTGAGTAACTAAATACATTTTCAAAGTATGCCCACCTTCACCTGACACTAGTTTACACGTATTTGCTACTCCAGTTGTTTTCCTATTGACCTGTAGATGAGGTAGAAACCAGAAGAGACCCCATTTAAGAGGCTTTTATCTCAATCTGGCACCTGAGCTAAGCACTGGCATGGTCCATTTATGTTTGTTATCACTGAGCGAAAGACGAGGACTTCAACTTCAAAACATATGCACGTACAGTCTGATATAGGGCTGGGTACTGTTAGAACACATATTTTTACAGGATTCCTTCACAAATTGCTTCTTGATTGGTGTAAAACTGTAAATTAAGTCCAAATCACGAGAGCCTGTCGTAGAGGCACTTTAAACTATAGGAATTCCAGGCTGTTGCGATGTCATGTGAATTGAATTTTTGGAAATTTAAGAACTGAAAACAGCTCTAAAATGTAGAAAGAGCTGCTACTTCTAAAAAAAAAACCAAATCTATAAAAGTCTACATGTGCTTACAAAATATTAAAGTGTTAAAATTTCAATGAGCTTAGTCTTGGAGGGCAGTGAGACAGCGCTATAGAAAGTTACTAGTTAATTCCAGCATGAAATTAATACATAAATTAAAATACGTTTAAGGATTTGTTTTTACATTTTTATAATTTTTTTAATCCAAATAATAATACTGCACTGTAAACAAATTCAACTGTACCCAGCCCAAATTGGATCCTTAATTTGTGGTAAATATGAAAAAACAAAACAGAAATGTCTAAAAATAACTATTCAGCAGCAGTTTATAACATCAATAACATGCTTTTGTTGCAGTCGGACTTTGAAAAGAGGCAGTGAACGCACCACACGTACATAATTACATAGCTGACACACATTTAAAATAATAAGTCATTGAATCTAGCTCCAGCATAAAAGACTAGGGCCGTTTGACATGCATGTTAACAGCAGACCCAGGAGTGGTTTGTAACTTTTCTAGTGGAGGGTCCGGCACCCGACTTTAAACAGCTCTACCTTACATATATTCAATTACAGGTGGTTTTATAGCTCAAAAATGTAAAAAAAAAAAAAAAAAAAGCTGTGAGCGGAGTTGCCTCACCACAGATCTGACCTGTAACTTGGTCTAGTTTGGGCTCCATGATGATAGGAAAATTTAATACCGCACTGTGAAACATTACAGGTGAAGCGATAACATCTCCATGGAGAAAAGCATCTGATGGACCATCCACTAGAAAATTTACGCAATGCACAGTTAAAAAAAAGATTTAAACCACTGTTTGTCAGACAACACAGATACAGCGTGAGACACTGGGTTTGTTTATTGGTGCTAAAGTTAAGCCTGTCACGATAATTACTATATCCACTTATCAATAAAAGGCCACAGCAGCTTGTCAAAGTCTGATCTCGTCAGGATCTAAGCAAGGCCGGGCCTGGGTAGGACTCGGATGGGAGATTGCTGGAAAAATCACGTGCCACAGGGGGGCACCAGTCACAAAAACTGTCATTGTGTCCTTAGGCAAGACACTTCACCTGCATCGACTAGTAAGAAAGTGTAGTGTGAGTGTCGGTGGTGGTCGGAGGGGCCGATGCCGCAGATTGGCAGCCTCTTGTCCATCAATGAAGCGCTATATAAATGCAATGATTGATTGCTTGAAAAGATGGAACTATAACTTCTGGGTGTGAAGAATCCCTCAGTCGTCCAGGTAGAATCCATGGTGAGGAGAAAATTCAGTTTGTCGACTGGACAAAAGTTAGTTTGGTTGAAGACATTTCACAGCTCATCCAAGCAGCTGCAGTAGACAAACTGAATTTTCTCCTCGCTGTAACTTCTGGGGATTGATATTTATCATGAGTACTTTTCTTTGCAATAGTTTGGAGATTTTGTTATTTTTGTTGTAATACGATAAAATTTAAGCTGTAAGGATGGGACAGTAAACAATCAGTATGTTTATCTTAAAAATAATAATCATCAGTGGGACATTCTATATAAACGTGATAATAAAAAAAATAATAATCTGCATTTTATCGTCAGAATGTGCAAGAAAAAGACCACATATCCATGATGGTCTCTTCTAGATCATTGTTGTTTTTACTTATAATAAAGTCCATAACAGATGTTTAAACCTGGAACCTATTCATAATATTAAAATAATTCTTAAAATTATTCATATCCATAATATTTTAAACTGTATTCTTCTGTATTCTTTGATGATTATCGTGACATAATCGTTAATCGCTGTTATTCTCATCATGATAATCATGACACCAAATTTCAATATTGTCCCATTCCTACTTTGGATAATATTTTATTAGGAAAACATTGTCAGTGGTGTTGTGCACTTTAAGAACTGGAAAAGTTATAATATAGACCTGGTTTAGACCTGGTGAAAGTTGGAAAGCTTTATTGTTATTTTGTCAGTATTTTAAATATTATTATTATTATTATATTGTGCTTCAAAATTTCAAATCGTGACAGGCCTAGCAAAAGGTACAGATCTGAACTCAAAAGCCAATTAAATGGCAAATGTTTGGCCATATATGGTTACTTATTAGTTGTGTTGAGTATAAGTTTAGGATTTCAAAAACTGGAGGAGCTATAAATGTAAGGCTCAAGTCAAAACTAAAAAAAAAAACAATAAAAGTTTGAGTAAAAAATATGTAAATAAAATAAACAGTTTACACATCTAAATGTCACCATGAGATTACAGTTAGTCATATTGCCCAGCCCTACTTGATCCTACTCCAGTTGTTTTCCATTCTTTAGAGCAAGTGCTTTGAATGTAAATGTAATATTTTCTACATTTGTGAAAAGAGATGCCCTGGTTCATTTCCCTGACCAGCCTGAACCGCACGCTTTGACAAAGATGAATGCGTCTGGAATGGAATCCTGTCTATTCGATTTCCGAGGGCGTGAAAACAAACATACTGGAGCTGGAGTTAGTTTTTCTTTTTCTTTTTTACTCCTGAGAAATGAGAAAGAGTGGGGACTTCAGCAACAATCAAAGCAGTAAACTGTTAATTATCTAAGGTAAAAGTTATATATTTTGTTCTGAATGATATGAGAATTCAAGAAGAGATGTGATACAAATTAGCGGCAAGTTTGGACAGAGGTTTTTCACGCTCTATGGTCCGATTAAAGAACCTTCTGGATTTAAACAGAATGTAGAATGGACTGGCTGGTCAGGCAAGTGGTTTAAATATAAGTCAGTGTTGTAATATTGTGGTAAACTAAGGCCTTATGCTTTTATGGGACACAGAACAGTGAGTACACCCCCATAGTTACTTGCCGTTAACAGTCTACTGGCTCTTATAGCTCCTGTGTTCTTCTGTGATCTCCTGTGTTCTTCTGTGTTCTTCTGTGTTCTTCCTGTGGTCTCCTGTGGTCTCCTGTGGTCTCCTGTGGTCTCCTGTGGTCTCCTGTGGTCTCCTGTGGTCTTCTGGGGTTTCTTGTGGTCTCCTGTCGTGCCCTGTCAGAAGTCTTTGAGGGACTTGACAGCTTTGGTTAAGTTTGAATAGAACTCGGTCATGCTGGAGGGGAAGAAGGACTCTACGACGGAGCGAGGGAGCAGCCCCCCCAGGTCTGTCTGGAACACTGTGAACACCTGCGTCTTGTTCGGCTCTCTGAGAAAGAGTAAAAAAAACATAATATAATACAAATCAGAATTTAAAGTATGTACTAGGGCTTAAACTTGCCATTAATCAGATTGATAATGATAACTGGGTTTTAGATCATTGTTTCCCAGACTTTTTTTCTGGGGACCCATATTTTGAAACTTAAAAGTTTTTGTGACCCAGGTCAATAGACAAAATTCGTAAAACAGAAAATAAATGTGACCATTATTAAACATTAATGAGGATATTTTGTGAACCATGCAATAAAAGGTATCCATAAGTCACCTATTCAACATTCAATTGAACCAGCAATTTTGGAACAAAATAGTCAATAAAATAATTACAATAAGATTAGAAATGATACAAAACATGTCTTAAGATTTTGACATTTCTAATGATATAGGTGGGCCTGTCTGCGTTTTTGTAGTGCATTCCAGTCTGGGGTGCAGAAAGAGAGTGCACCACGCAGATCAGGTGAATTGGCAAAACTGTTTATTGCAGAGCTACATGCACATCGTGACAAGGCGACCCAAAAACATGCTACAGGTCTCCAAGAACAGTGGATAGTCAAGGTCAGTTAAATACAATCAATCAACGAACCTGCCCAGGGACTACAGGTGGAAATTAGCACTGATGCTACAACCTGATGTACAATGCGTCTCTCCTGTTAAGGTTAATGCAAAAATTGTGTGCTGTCCCTGTCTCAAATAAATAAATAAATAAATAAATCTCTTGCCTGAGGGTCACGACCCAGTCTTTGGGAAACAATGTTTTAGATGACATTGCATCTATTGGTCAGTGATATTTAATAAAGATGAGGGCAGCTAAAACTGATCAAATATAGATTGTTTCCTTGTAATATATTAAGTTCTTGGGTCTAGTCACTAATATAAATGAGCAGGTTCAAATGTGTGTGTGTGTGTATTCATCTTTGGGATATTTCTTATGGGAATAACAATGGGGAAACCTGGTTCTTGCCTCTCCACTGCGAGTGTGACAGAAGGGGGGCAAGATCCAGATGTCTACAGCCAATCCTCTGTCAGTAAAAGTATGTGGTTTTGAGGAGAATATAAAACTATGGAAGAATTAGTGTAATAATCATTTTTTCTCCATTTTGGTTGTTTTTATTGCTCTGAAAAAAATGGATCCTAGTCTGAGTGAGTTTGCATCTTCACAAACCTGACTCTTATTTGGGCTCCTCCATGGAAATGTTGTTCGTTTGGCTATAATATTCTAGCCTGATTCATCAGCTGGTTTCACTTTGTGGATTTGTTCACTCTACGGTAGGTGGATACTTTTTTTTTTTATTTAACCAATCACTGCTATTTGGTCGTGACGTATGTAATGCACCAAATCTCATAGGAAGAAGGGCAATAACGTCTTTCCCCTTGATAAAATTCACCAAACATTCTCTTTGTTCTGACTTTAAATCCTCGATCTCGGGAATTGTTGCCAACACAGAATGTACGGCGTCGTCTACATTCATCTCGACCGCTTTGTTTACTGTTGTGCTGTACAAAAGGGACAGGCGCTTGAGTTTGACGTCATGGCTTCGCAGCTCTTCACTGATTGGCCAATGCGCGGTCTACAACTGCCGGGGTTCTTGCGATGTGTATTCCGATTCCTGATCTAGTCGCTGGAGAGAAATGAAATTGAGCGGAGGCACTAGGTAGCGCCAGCCTGGCTAATAATCTTCCACAGCATGGCATAAAAACTCTATTACTGTGGAGAATGTTCTGAAGTATGGTTTTAACTTTCTATTTTCATGGAATCGTACAGGTGAACATAACATTGCTTTAAAAAAAAAAAAAAAAAACACTCTTCAGGAAATTAAATCATGCGAAAATTATTATGAGAAAAAAAATCAGCAAACATTTTGATCAATCTATACAAGAACAATAAATTGTACTTTTTTTGTTTTGTTTTTTGCCTTATCACCCAGTCCAGCCTGACTTTGTGCTCATTGGCCGACATGCCCTGTATCATTCATTATTTATTCACTTTGCACAATGTCATACTGTACTGAGGAACATTCCAAGCAAAGCAATAACCTTTCCATGAGCACGTTACATGGTCCCTCTTTAATTTATTGTCACGCTTCTTTTTATACTAAGGAGGAGAAAATTACATTAAGGAGAGGCCTTCATAATCTCATTTATTTATGGTAAACACTGTTAAGTACAGCACAGTAAAATACATAAAGAACTATTGATTCTGTAGTCAGTGCACTTGATGACACTCACCCAGGCACGGGGACACAGACGCAGCCACACGGATGGTTAAAGCCCCTGACGAAGCCCGGCTGTGGGGGGCACGATGAGTGGAGCACGTTGGTCGCTTTGAATAGAACAAACAGCAGGAAAACATAATTTATTAATGGCTGAAGCGAATATGACATTTAATATAGGATGGAGGCTGAAAACACGCGCTCAGGGTCACTGGTGGAGCTGAGTAAAGATCCCAAGCTACACCCATGTTCAGGAGTGGTGCTACTGACAAAAATATATCACTACTGCGTTTAAGTGTCTTTGTTAAATGGGATATTGTGTAACTTTTCAAATGGAGGGTCTGTCAAATGTTTTTCTTCATGGGGATGTTGTTGCTCTGTCCAGAATCTTTCATAGTATGGTATAAAAGCTTTTTATCTTCATGGAGACCAAACCGGACCAAGTTACAGGTCAGATCTGTGGGGAGTGTAGAGTAGGGCTGAACGATTTTAAGAAAAAAAATTGAATGGAGAGTTTTCTGGCAGATATTGCGATTTAGTTTTCATCCACAATTTTTTCAAATATAGTTTTAGTTAGGGATGGGCATTCGATGAAATTTTCTTAATCGATTGTCTGAAGAATTAACGATCGATTATCGATTAATCATTAACGTTTTTATATTAAAATGATCACCATTATTATTACTATCTGCACTAATCTGCATAAATAAATTCAACTTTACGACATATAAACCATAACGACTCTAGAGCCACATCAATCCGTTTGAGATTATGTGTTTAATTCAGTTTTGCGCAACTCTCACAGAAACGAAACTTAAAACCGCATCGCTAATTTGCATAAACTCTGCGAAGATAAAACTACAGCTCTTTTGTCGCTGATGCGGTCAATTTCTGTCGAATTAAAAGACATGACTCAGTGGAATACAGGTTAGTGTGACCATATTTGCGTTTGTCAAAACCAGGACACCGTACGGGGGGAGGGAGGTGGGGACTCGTCATCGACATTGCGCGACTCTCACCTGGTAAAACTTTTTCCCACTGGACACCGAAACATATGTTCTTGCTTTGTACACTGTGCACATGGACTCACACTTGTCCCGAACGCAACGGAAAGCGTGGAATTTCTTGTACAAATAATCGTTCGATACGCTGCAGACTGACCGAATGTTTGTGTTTGCTCGCTCCTTCTGAGTGCAGAGAGACACATGTACGGACCTGTTTGGTCACGCTACGCACAGCAACCTACATTCGGTTTGTCGATTAAAATTAACGTAATCGATGAAATTCTTAATGATCCATTATCGATTAATCGATTAATCATGCCCATCCCTAGTTTTAGTGCACATGAACATTTGCAAACATCACAGAAACTTACATCATACCAGAGTCCTGCACCGACGATTTGACGCTGGACCGTTTGCGCACATTTGTTTACGTTTTACAGAAACAAAACTAAAACTACATGGCTAATTTGCATAAACTACAAGAGCTGAAAAAAAAATCAGCTCGCTCCTTGTGCTGCTGATGTGGGTCAACTGCTGTTGGACTAAAGGACACGACTCAGTGGAATATGAGTGTTCTTTCTGTGATAGAGGATGTGCTGATGATGGTGAGTCTGTTCTGTTGTGTTGGAGATGGCTCATGTTAAACTTTACACGAACGCAAGGTTTAAATCCTAGCGTTGTGGCGGTGAATTACCTCGAGGCGCATAGACCTTGACGCAGACCCAAAAATCAGAAACGACGGTGACAAGACAACAGTGGCAATGCACGTTGTGTCGACGCAGAACTAAACTTCGCCCTTAAAATTGGGCTTTAGGAGCACTGCAAAAAAACGTGGCTTTGACGCTCCCAAAATCGTGTTCTCTGAGATTGTAGTTTTCGGTCCAAAACGATAGATCGTTCAGCCCTAGTGTAGAAGAAACCCTGCTCACAGTAAGAATGCCTGTTTTTCTCTGTATTTTTGAGCTAGAAAAACTGTAATTGAGTAAATGTAAGGTAGAGCTGTTTAATGTCATGATGTGGAACAGGCAGAGCAACGACACCTCCACAGAAACAAGCAGGGGACGGACCCATAACCAAAAAGTTACACAGTGCACCTTTAAGTTTCAAGTATTGCACAAGAAGTTAAGTGACTAGAAAATTATCAACAAAAGTGCAGAAATATCACTACCATTTGAAAGAAAACTGCTACTTTCTGTTCTTACTTATTTTTAATCATCTTAAAAAATGGTCTATATTCTAAACAATATGCTTAACTTTAAAAAAAATAAATAAACAAATACAAAAAATACTGAGTTTAAATAATATCTCAATGTCTCAGTGGAGTCTTCTTATGTCTAAAACAGGAGTGCCCAAACTTTTTTCATCAAGGGCCAAATATCTAAACACAGACGAAGCAGAGGGCCGATCGAGGGCCGTAGTCTGATGCTCAGTACAGTGAATATTGAAATATGTGCATGTTTAACATGTTAGAATGAGCCATCAGTCTTTTATTCATACTACGATCCTTAAAACCACACACTAAATAAGAAATATTCGCTTTTTCAAGGTAGATTTTCAAAAAACTTGCAGTAAAAGATTATTTTTTAATTGATGCAAGGTCATTTGGGCCAATTCACCTGGAAGTCTGAGGGCCAAGAAAAAATTGTCTGAGGGCCGCATTTGGCTCCTCGGGCCATAGTTTGAACATGCCTGGTCTAAAACCTTCGAACCCAGTAGTAAGCATGTTTGAAAATGCATGTGATTCATTTCGAAATTACAAAGCAGTTTAATTTCAGTAATGTTATGGAAATGTTTAAAATCTCTGTTAACTGAATATTGATTTTTGAAACATATTCTCCAATCTTATCACAATCTCAATACTTTAAAAAACTAGCAATTAGTTCAACCAAAGTCAAAGTTTAAAGAACCTTTTAAGTAAACAGGTAAGATTTAGATAACTGAGTGCATAATTACATTCTTATTCTCTCATTTTAATAGAGGAACCACCTGTTATCGCCGCAGTATTTGCTATCCACACTGGATCTATTTGCGATACTTAGATCGTTATTAGTTCAGCTGGAACATTAAACACAGCAGGGCAGGGCAGAGTTCAGTGGGACAAGTGTAAAGATGGAACTCGTGACCCTCGCAGAAATGACAGTCCATTATAAAGTCCATTATAAAAGCGCCATTCACCTTTAAGAGCCACTGAGTCAACACACAGGGGTTAATCATTTCTGTTTTGAACAAGCCTCAATCTGTTGAATTGGAAAGTCCCGGTTAAATTACTGGAAGTTGTGGCTAGGTCAACAGTTTGCACCAAAGTCAACCTACTCACAAACGTGCATCTTACTGTACTGAGAAGTAGAGTGCAAAACTAAGCAAAGCAAACACAAACTGGAAGGTTAAACAGTCTAGTAAAGTAGAAGTAAAAGCTGCCATGAAAGCTTTGTTGCAGCTTGATGCAGAACTAGACAACCTCATGTATTAAATTACATTAAATTAAATTAAAGGTGCATTTTCTCGTGGAGTGTCCGTCAAATGCTCCATGAAGATGTTATCACTTTGTCTGGAACGTTTCACAGTATGGTATTTAACCTTTCTGTCTTCATGGAGACGAAACCAGACCAAGTTACAGGTCAGATCTGTGGAGAGGCGACCTCGCTCACAGTCAGAATGCCTGTTTTTCTAGGTATTTTTGAGCTCCTCTAATTTAATAAATGTAAAGTAGAGCTGATAAATGAAACATTCCAGGTAGAGCAATGATATATCCATAGAAACAAGCAGGAGAAGGACCCCCAACCAAAAAGTTACATAGTGCATCTTTAAATTTATAAGGATGTTAAGGCATATTGATAACTTTACATAAAATCAGCCTGGTCATAGAGATAATAGGTTAAAGACAAACTTGTAATTTGCAATACAATTTACATATGAGACTTTTATGAAATATTTGACATAATATTTGCGTGTACAGTAAAGAAAATGGTAATTATAGTACAGTATATCGTATATTATTAAGTGTTTGTGTCATTTCATAGATCATGAAGAAGGGTTTTGCATAATTATTCCAATAAAGAGTAGGCCGAGATGCAGTGGTTCTTAACATTTTTGACTTTGGGGCCCAATTTTTTTCAATACAAAGTAAGTAAGTCCGGGGTGCATTCATTTAAACTTAATTATTATTATTAATTTAGCATGCCTCAAGGTAGTTCTTGTGGTCTTACATTATTCCTCAGCCCTATGGTTAAGAATCCAACATACTAGGCGTGGGATGATATAGAAATTTGGTGTCACAATTATCATGGCCAAAATAATAATTATTAAAGTTTCTGAGAGTTTAAAAATTTTATGGACATGAATAATAATAATTTGAATATTATCAATAGGTTCCATATTTAAACAACTGTTATAGTGTTGTACTTTGCTCCTTGAACCGTCACCTTATCGTGGTGGAGGGGTTTGAGTGCCCGAATGATCCCGGGAGCTATGTTGTCGGGGGCTTCATGCCCCTGGTAGGGTCACCCAAGGCAAACAGGTCCGGGGGGACGGGCCAGACGAAGAACGGTTCAGAAGCCCCACATGATGAGTTACACACAGAGGCCAGTTACGATGCCCGGATTGGCGTCACCGGGGCCTCACCCTGGAGCCAGGCCTGGGGTGGGTGTTCGTCAGCGAGCGCCTGGTGGCCGGGCTCAGCCCGAAGGAGCGACGTGGGGCCGTCCTCACATGGGCCCACCACCCGCGGGAGAAGCCATATGGGGCCGGTGCAGAGAGATCTGGGCAGCAGTCGACGGCGGGGGCCTCGACGACTGGATCTCCGGACATGGAGACTAGCTCTGGGGACATGGAATGTCACCTCGCTGGGGGGGAAGGAGCCTGAGCTTGTGCGGGAGGTTGAGCGTTACCGACTAAATATAGTCGGCCTCACCTCCACGCACAGTTTGGGCTCTGGAACCCAACTCCTTGAGAGGGGCTGGACTCTCCATTTCTCTGGCGTTGGCCGCGGGGAGCGGCGGCGGGCTGGTGTGGGCCTGCTCATTGCCCCCACAGCTCAGCCACTGTGTGTTGGAGTTCACCCCGGTGAACGAGAGGGTCGCGTCCCTGCGCCTTCGGGTCGGGGACAGGTCTCTCACTGTGGTGTCGGCCTACGGGCCGAACAGCAGTGCTGAATACCCGGCCTTCTTGGAGTCCTTGGGAGGGGTACTAGACAGTGCACCGACCGGGGACTCCGTTGTTCTCCTGGGGGACTTCAACGCCCACGTGGGCAACGACAGTGACACTTGGAGAGGGGTGATTGGGAGGAACGGCCTCCCCGATCTGAACCCGAGCGGTGTTTTGTTATTGGACTTCTGTGCTAGTCACGGTTTGTCCATAACGAACACCATGTTCGAGCACAAGGGTGTCCATAAGTGCACGTGGCACCAGGACACCCTAGGCCAGAGGTCAATGATCGACTTTGTAGTCATGTCATCTGATCTCTGGCCGCGTGTCTTGGACACTCGGGTGAAGAGAGGGGCTGAGCTGTCAACTGATCACCACCTGGTTGTGAGTTGGGTTCGCTGGCGGAGGAGGAAGCCGGAAAGACCTGGCAGGCCCAAGCGTGTAGTGAGGGTCTGTTGGGAATGTCTGGCGGAGCCCTCTGTCAGAGGGACATTCAACTCGCACCTCCGGGAGGACTTCTCCCGGATTCCGGGGGAGGCCGGAGATATGGAGTCCGAGTGGGCTTCATTCTCGGCCTGTATTGTCGATGCGGCTGCTCGTAGCTGTGGGCGTAAGGTCTGTGGTGCCTGTCGCGGCGGCAATCCCCGAACCCGGTGGTGGACACCAGAAGTAAGGAATGCCGTCAAGCTGAAGAAGGAGTCCTATCGGGCCTTGCTGGCTCGGGGGACTCCTGAAGCAGCTGACAGGTACCGCCGGGCCCAGCATGCTGCAGCCCGTGTGGTCGCGGAGGCAAAAACTCAGAGCTGGGAGGAGTTCGGGGAGGCCATGGAGAAGGACTATCGGACGGCCTCAAAGAGATTCTGGCAAACCGTCCGGCACCTCAGGAGGGGGAAGCAGTTCTTCACCAACACTGTTTACAGTGCGGGGGGAGAGCTGTTGACCTCGACTGGGGATGTTGTCCGGCGGTGGAAGGAATACTTTGAGGATCTCCTCAATCCCACCGTCACGTCCTCCGAGGAGGAGGCCGAGGCTGGGGACTCGGAGGCGGACTCATCCATCACCCTGGCCGAAGTCACTGAGGTGGTTGGAAAGCTCCTTGGTGGCAAGGCTCCGGGGGTGGACGAGATCCGCCCTGAGTACCTTAAGTCTCTGGATGTTGTGGGGCTGTCTTGGCTGACACGCCTCTTCAACATCGCGTGGCGGTCGGGAACAGTACCTCTGGACTGGCAAACCGGGGTGGTGGTCCCTCTGTATAAGAAGGGGGACCGGAGGGTGTGTTCCAACTATATTGGGATCACACTCCTCAGCCTTCCCGGTAAGGTCTATGCCAGGGTACTGGGGAGGAGAATCCGGCCAATAGTCGAACCTCGGATCCAGGAGGAGCAGTGTGGTTTTCGTCCTGGCCGTGGAACACTGGACCAGCTCTACACTCTCCATCGGGTGCTCGAGGGTTCATGGGAGTTTGCCCAACCAGTCCACATGTGCTTTGTGGACTTGGAGAAGACATTCGACCGTGTTCCTCATGGTGTCCTGTGGGGGGTGCTCTGGGAGTATGGGGGTCTGGGCTGTCCGGTCCCTGTATGACCGGAGCAGGAGCTGTGTTCGCATTGCCGGCAGTAAGTCAGACCTGTTCCCGGTGCATGTTGGACTCCACCAGGGCTGCCCTTCACATCGAGAGGAGCCAGTTGAGGTGGCTCGGGCATCTGTTCCAGATGCCTCCTGGGCGCCTCCCTCGGGAGGTGTTCCGGGCATGTCCCGCCGGGAGGAGGCCCCGGGGAAGACCCAGGACACGCTGGAGGGACTATGTCTCTCGGCTGGCCTGGGAACGCCTCGGGGTCCCCCCGGAGGAGCTGGAGGACGTGTCTGGGGTGAAGGAAGTCTGGGAGTCCCTGCTTAGACTGCTGCCCCCGCGACCCGGCCCCGGATAAGCGGACGAAAATGGATGGATGGATGGACTTTGCTAGTGAAAGTGAAAACAACAAAGATCTAGAAGAAAACATCATGGATAAGTATCTTTTTTTCTGCAAGTTCTGGTGATTTCTGGTGATTATCTTTGTCCCACAAACTATTAGTGTCTACCCTTTTTATCACGATACACAATATTATTGTTTGTTGCCCTATCCCTAGTTCATACCTAAATTATCTAGCATTTTATCAATATGCAGGTACATTGCTGGTTAAAAGTTTTAGAACACCACACTTTTTCCAGTTTTTTCCTGTTTACTGACCAAAACGTATTCTAAACTTTTGATTCATGAAAGTGCCCACCTTTGGCAGATATAACAGCTGAACACACCCGTGGCTCATTCTTTTTACAATAGAAATCAAATATTCTTCATAAAGTTCTTCCCAATTCTGTTGCAGAAGTTCCCATAAATGTGTGGCACTTGTAGGTTGTTTGACTTTCACTCTTCAGTCCAGTTCATCCCAAACCAGCTCGATGGGGTTTACGTCTGGAGACTGTGCTGGACACTTCATGTTTTCAAGCTTTACAATCTTGTTCTTTTTTCCTGAGGTAGTTTTGACGGAGCTTAGTCTTGTTTTTATCTTGTATCTGTTTTTTAACCTCTCTCTGCTCTTCAGCACTTACCTTTGTACCATTTCAAGCTCTTCATTGGACTTGCACGACTTGAATTGCAATAAATAACTGGAAAAATTAGGGTGTTCTAAAACTTTTGACCGGTAGAGTATGTGTAATACCTAAAATGGTTTAAACATCTGTAAAATCAAAGACCCAACACAACAACATAAAAACATATAGATGATGAGAGTAAGGGGCTGGTTACGCACCATTGGATGAAATGGTGCCATCTTCGTACTTTTTAACAACAATGACATCGACAAAGTCTCGTGGAGAGATGATGCCCATGGCGGCGGAGGGCGTGACAGTACGACAGACGGACACTTCCTGCACGAGAGCGGCACAGAGGAGCTCAAACAAAACTAAGCAGCACTTTTACAGCTCCTCTGGGTAAAAGAGGGGTTATAGTTTCACTTTTGGAGCCCTAGAGAAGCTTTAAAAGGTGACAAAAGACAAAAACCATGAAATGTGGCAATAAGGGCTGCACTATAGATTTCAAAATTTATGTTGCAACTTTTATGCAGCAACTGTTTCACCACAGAACCTCCTAAATACACAACGATGTGCTTCACTGACTGTATCCTGTTCCACCAATGTCAATATCTTTCAAAGCAATTTGTGAATGAAAGTGGCTGGTCTGTTCCAGCTCACTGAAGTTGGGTTGGTGAAAATTTTAAAACAAAGGAACACAAAAATAAAGCTGTAGACTGGTTACATAATAGGTACCGGTAATATATTTTAAGATTGCAGCGATTTATAGGCTCATTATGACTAATCGACTATAAAAATGATTGCAAACATAATTTCTGATAATTGTAATTGTTATCTAGACTATATAAACACTTACACAAGGCCTTTTTATAACAAAGATGGTGAGCTTTTTAATCAATAATCCACTGTAAATATCTGTAAATATTCTCTAGTTAGAAGTCTTTGTTCACCACATTTCAGCCTTCATGTGGTTTATAATGCCTTTAAAAAGTCTCAATGTACAATAAGAATAATTGTTTCACTGGTCGCCTAATCGAAAAAATAAACATTAATTGCATCCCTAATTTATTTCAATGGGTGAGTAAGAACTGTCTATAAAAAACAGATCCCAGTAGATTCAATTTAACAAATATTGGCACTGAAAAAATCGGATAAAATGGCAAAATCTGACTTGTTTAAAAATAATCTTTAACTTTACCAACACCAGTATAGAACCATAGGGTAACATAATGAAATTACTACTATTTTGAGCTGAAACTGACTTACATTACATCTGTGTGTCTGTGTTTGTTTGTTTTTTCATCATTGTAGTATCTAAATTGGCATTATATACCAAGCCCTTTCCTTAGTATCGAAACTGAAACAACACTACTGCAGCTACGGTTGACCTTGGCTCTATAGTGCAGCCCCATTGTAAACACATTTGAGTGACTGTGAGTGAATATAACAAAGACAGACCTCTGTGATCTGCTGCAGGAGCTCAAATTTCTTGACGTTAGTGTCCCATTTGACCCTGAGGCCGTTGGGGATCGGTTTGAGACACTCCCACACTTTGAGGAGACCCCCGTTCACCACCGCCTCCCCTTTGTATCTGAACAAATGAAATAAAACCAGTGATTACAGCATCACATAGTCTCCAACTCTAATATTTTCACAATTAATGAAGAACTGTGAGTAAAATTATCATTCTGTTAGAAGACATCATTGCCAAACCTTTATTTTTGCTTTGTTATTAATCTAAAAACACTCATTTGGTCTTATTTTGTAGATTAATTTCTTGGTTTCTTTTTAAAGACAATACAGTAAGAGATGCATTTACCTTGTTGACATGTTTTGGCTTGTCTTTGATTTTTATATTTAATTGCAGGATATTAGAAACTGATATATAGTTCTATCGTTTGGCCAATATATAGGGCCAAAATTACGGTAGCACTTTTTAGCATATTGGCTTTTATGGAATGGTTTAAAATTCATTGTTACTTTGTTGTTTTTCCACATTTCTTCTGTATTTAAGTAGAAACTGAGTTAAGATTATTGACTTTATCTGAAATAATTTGGGGTAAATGATCAAAATCGACCTAAAAAATCTTTTATCAGAGTTTATCAGATGCTTTTGGTACCTAAAATATTAGTTTCAGCCATAATAATGATTCTTGAGATAGCAATGTTAGTAATATTTCCACCTTATACAGAGGTTGTCCTCATATATAACTTGTATTTTTATCATTGTACCTGTGGGGATTGACTGGGTAATAATGAGAATATAAAATGGAACTATAAAATTAAATCTATCCATTGTATAACATTGAAATTTTGTGCTTTTCTGTTTTTCAGAGTTTAAACATAGTATCCGTGATGCTCTGAGTGACAACAGATTAGTAAATGTCATTTACAGTTACATCTTGTTTGCATAAGTAGATTTATTTGTGAATGTTTGCATCTATACATGTTCTGACAAGGGAAGTATGTAAAAGGGTAAACAAATATGGCAAAGGGAAAAAAAAATGTTTAAGATTGAAGGAATTATTTAAATGTCATTGTACAGCTTCTCAAAATTGCTCAGTTAATTCAGTGATTAAAGGGACAATATTACACTGTTTACACAAACATATCTGGAGTTGTGTTTTGTCTCATTCACACATGTTCAACCTTACAGACAGTATTTAGGCTGAGTTCTTCTCTCAAACAGAAAGTGCTCCACTGTGTTTTTAAACTTGCTCACCGCTGCTGAACTAAAACTAAAAGGTAGCAAACTTCAAAACTACCACTACATGACATCACAAGGAGGAAGGGAGCTTTTTGAGCTTTGAAGATGCAGACAGACAAATAATAGAGTTACTTAAACATGTGTGAAAGAAACAAAACACAAATCCAGGTCTGTTTTCAGGAGGTAATAACATCACGACATGGCGTAAATCTCACAAGAGTCAAATCTCAGTAAGTGACATGTCATGTAGTACATTCCTTCTCTAGTCATTTGTGCAGGAAAAGAAATAGACTTTCACTTCACTGAGCCTATTACATAAATGTTGGAGACAGCGGGTGTACAGTTACTGCTCTCACCACAAGCGTTTCCTGTATTGGTTTTAGATCAGTGTTACAGATCTTATTTCACTATCACTCAAAGATACTGAGCAAAAGTGACTTACACATTTCCAGGATACTCAACTGAGGGACGCCAGGACACAACCACGTCATTCTGTGAAGCAAAAAGAAAATGAATGAAATTATCTGTCAAAATCTGGTACTATGAAACTTGTCTCCATGAAGATTTTATTACTTAGATGTTATTATTACTACTGGATTATTCCACAGTATGGCATTAAGGTTATCATCTATCTTTTATTCAATTACATGTGTTTTTTATTGTTAAACATACCTTGAAAAACATGAATTCTTACTGTAAGTGGGATCACCTCTCCACTAGGGATGTAACAATAACCGAAATATCGTGATATTGTATCGTCAAAAGTCTCAAAATAATATCGTGGACTGTCTTGAATTACAAGTTCCTTTGCTTAAATGCATGGTTTTATAAAAGCAACAGCTTATAAACATCGGAAACTACATATCCCAGATTCATTTCAGCGCAAACAACGTGAAGAGACATGTTTTTTACTTGAATTCTTGGGATTATGATGGAAATAATTTACACCAAAATCTTATCAGAGTATTTTAAAAGCAAAAAAGTGTCCCATCTACAGTTATATCAGCCTCACCAAAATATCGCAACAAATATTGTACCGTGAGATGCATATCGGGATAATATCGCACCGAGAGACTTCCCTACTCTCCAAAAATATGATTTATAACTCGGCTTAGTAGTGTCACCTGCTTGTTTTCGAGGAGATTAAGTTTTTTGGTCGCTTGTTGTTGATATAGAGATGTGTGTTACCTTGAATGATCCACATAATGGCGACAAGCAGTGAGTGAGATGAAGTAACTGGTCAGATCTGTGGAGAGGCAATCCCACTCACAGTAAGAATGAATTTTTTTTCAAGCATCTGGAGCTGAATAGATGCTAGATAGACACGTTTAATGAATTTAACATCTCAAACAGGTGACAAACACGTGGCAGATCCTCCTCTAGAAAAATAAATGACAGTAATTTCTTCTTAATTGCATTTTTTTGTCTTTTGAAGGATATTGTTGTGCCAATTAACTTATTTCTTAACTATTTCCAATCCACACGAAAGCCTAATTCTGGCTGCAATATTGATCTACTTTCTATTTGTTTCCTGCTTAGTTTTGGTGGCATTTATGCAGTAAGTTCAACCACATAAAACATTTGAAACACTAGGATGATGCTGCTCCTGCCTGCTCTAACACCAGGCTACGTTATAATGTAGTTACACAGTGAAAGAGTGGAAGAATCCACTGATCTGGTATTCAAGCAACCGCAGTCTTCTTTCTTTCTGTCTTTCTTTCGCCCTCAAACAGAATTAGCTCTTCATGTCGCAGGGCTCCAGTCTTTTTGCACGTCCATTTTAAAAATAGAGGGATGCGTACATAACAGCACAGCAAATACTCACGGATTTTTTACACACTTTCCACCCGGATGGATCTTTTGTATACCCCAAAAGGCGTTCTGCAGCAAACTTGGCTCTATCCTCGTATTCCATGTTTATAACTTGATAAAAACCCAAACAATTAATCCAGATAAGGGGCAGAAAGGGAGGATGCAATGATGGCTACCAATGCCAGAAGGATTTTTAGGTCAATTTAAGATGTTGTTCCACGTTGCACAAGCAAAAACATGTCCACGTTGGCAGGTGATCCTCAGGTAAATCGTGTCAGTGAATGAGTAGATATTTTGGCATCATTGTTGGGGAAATAGCATCAAGGTTACAGCAAAAAGCGATCGACAAGCGAGTGTATCCAATGTCAACGTTGCTAATAATCCTAAAAAGGCTACTGAAACGACGCACGGTAATCCATTTTTGTAGTATTTAATTAAAATGAAAAATTACCACGAGAGGTAGTAAGTAGTAAACGCTAGTGGAAGCCGGAGCTGCTGAAAGAAGCCGGTGGGCGGGACCAAAGGCGGAATGGTGTGCTGTGATTTGTTGAAAATCATGAGGTTAAGATAACAACCAATCAGATTACAGAAATGTGATTACTTCACAGTTGCCTGACAGATAAACAACCAATCAGAAAAGAGAAACATTAAACACGTCCCTCCCCTTTAGGGCATCTCTCATTTCGGATTTTTGCGTTTCCTCATGGTCTAACCTCCTCAAAGTTGATGATTCCTACCTAGCAATACACCATCCGCAGATTAAAAAGAGCTGCAGACGAGGAATATAAAGATAAATGGTTTTAAATATTGTTTTAAATACGCTGTCTGTTCTCAGTTTAGGAGGAAACAAAAGGTTGAGGGTTTGAGGAGGAGAGTGAGCAGAAATCGGGCACGTCCAATTTGCTCACTGTGAATAAAATTAGATTACAGTAAACTCGATTAAAGCAGTTGTCTGCCATGTTTAAACATAATTACTATCTCATTACTGTAGTACAAACACCTTTATTTGGCAAGTCTTTGGTCATAATTATTACTTTTTGTCATTTGTAATGGATCAAAATAGTTAATTTTAGCCTAGCATCTGATCATTGCAAACATTCACATTCATTCATATTATTAAGTATTTCAGTAAATTAATGTTTGTTTGTTTGTTTTTCCTAATTAACTAATCTTTTCTTAATTCTTTGTCTTTTCAGTGCAGAGATGAACTGTAATTCCCTCATGGATCAGGTAAGTACACGTTTATTATTAGTATTTATTATTATTGTTAAGGTTTGGTCACTGCCACAGACTGAATAAAGAAGATTTTGGTCACTGCATACTTTCTTTACACACTCAAATATAGAAATGGTTACTGATAAATGTGGCATCGTTCCACTATTGACTTATTGAATTAAATACTGACACCCAGTGGGCAAATTGTCAAATTACATGTACCGCCTATAAGAAACAAGATGCTGTTTTTGTTTTTAGTCATTTATTGATTTATTTTACAAAAGAAAGCTTTTTCAACATTTTTTTCTTTAAAAACATATTTACAGGTTTGTACAAAAATACAAAAGTGATTCAAATCTTATAAGTCCTAGCTAGTTTTAAACATGGAGCTCATTTTAAGTCGACAATTAAATCGTGTCTTCGGTGTCTTCACTGTATCAAGGTGAGTATGTTTAGTGTTAATCCAGTTTTTTTAGTTAAAATAAATATATTTCACTTTATCAGATTAAATTTGAGTTACAATATTAGTATTACTAAATATTTTTTTGGACTTAGCTGCAATTAAGTTATAAATAGGCGCAGAGTAGTCCGATATTGCACCATTTTCCCAGATGGAAAACACTAAACAAACCTTGATATTTTTGTCATTAGTATGTTTACCATTTACAGTCAATGCCGTTATGAATGGAAATTATACATGACTTTCATTAGATCAAATTAAACATAATTTGGAGTCAGTTAATGATATTGTTCCTTCACATTTATCCATGTGTTATGCTCTTTGAGTGAAGCTGATAATATCTTTCTCTGTTTCCAACTTTCACAGCTCCAGTGCGACTATAGGACCAGCACCAAAAGTGGATTCTTCCTCCTGAAAAATCTCCATTGTTTTCTTTACATTGACATGTGATTGTCCAGTGAGTAGTAGATATACAGTACAAGATTAACCCTTGTTTGTGAGCACGACTATACAGAACAGAATTAGCCAGACAGTTTGTACATCTATAACACACTATCGAACTAGACAATTCAACAGAAAATACAAAATATCTTCTTGTGGTATGGAGACATCCCTCAGATAGAAAATAATGATATGATGGTGTCCATTTCTTTGTTATTTTTTTCGTTACTTATTGCATGCTATTGTTAACACAACAAATCAAACAATAAACAGGAACAAGTGCGCTTTAGCAATATGATCAATGTAAAATTCTTAATGTTAATTCACAGCATTTTACGCCCTCCATCTTGCACAGTGTCAGTTCTGCAATTCAGATTCGCTGAGTTTTAAACAGTTGTGATTTTGTCTATCAATCTAGCTATCATCTATCTATCTATCTATGAATTTACAATAAACAATACTTTGTTTGCTGAAGTATTCACAGAATACAGTGAATGTTTTCTTTTGAAGTACAGTCTCTGAATATTTAAACAACCCAGTTTCCAAAATCAATGATGCATAGAATAATTTGTAATAATTATAAAACTTCTCAAAAACCCTTTGTGGGGGACCTATGATCACTCACACCTAATTCAGTAAAAAAAAAAAATAAAATTGAAATACATTTATAACTTTACCTCTTTCATACATCTGCCAGGGTAAATGCCTTTACATGTTTTATTCATATCTTTTTCTAACTATCCCTAGTTTAGTGACATTTTTGGCAATATTATTCTATGCTTCATAGAAATATGGAAATGTAACATTCTGTCAACCATTTCTGGGTTAATATTGGCTGTGAAAGGCAATTGGCCAATCAAAACTAACTGGATGCCACGACAAATTCAAGCCTGTTATGTTCTGCTAACTACTGATAAATGCTAACATCTTAATGTTGACATTGTCTCTAATTAAATCTATTACATGTTGAACATCATCAAATGAAAAAATTCAGTTTTAGTTATCTTATTTTGTAAACATTTTTGAAGGTCCCTGCAAGTACACAAAATGAGGAAACCAACAAATGGTTTGAGAAAAGTTTAAAAAGGCATGACTCCATGGTTCACACCAGCTAATGTTTTGTGATCCGACGGATCAGTGCAAACAATGGAGAGGCAACACAGGAACGTGTTAGCGAGCGGTTAGTTTTATGTTAGTGAGACCTGTTCTTCTTTGCTACACTCAGTTATGTTTGTTATAAAAAATCTGCCTGTTGTTTTATATAGATATTACTTTATTTTAGTACAAATATACATTGTTATTTCATTACAAGAAATATCTTATTTTCAAGGAATAGTCTTGAAGAATCATGAAGTGCAAAAGTAAGATTGGCTCTTGGAAACTTCTCCAAATTACCCTCTCATCCTAAACCGATTGAGAACCTTCTAAAGCATTGTCACCAACTGCACTTAACAGTGTCTGCTTTGAAATGCACTTTTCAATTTTAGCCTGAAGCACAACTGGCCATCTAAATCTGGTATATCTACTTGAGGAAGTTGAATTTGATTGGATTCAAGTCCAATATCCACTTCTACAAAAGGCCTTTGTGCGATTGTCCATAATTCACCTGTTTCTCCACTCACCCCTTTTAGGCACAAGACCTTGTTCCTACATGAGACACTCCGAGACAATGTAGACCACTGGTGTGTGATGCAGACATCACTGAAACCTTTCACAGTGAAAGATTAAATATTCCAACAATACGATGGAGCCACAAAGAATGGTGACAGAAACCAGGATCTAGGATCTTATATATAAGGTCATGCAACATGATGAAGCTTTCACATCATGTTCTGAGGCGCAGCTCTACAAAAATACATGCATCATGTTATTTTTGATATAATTTGTTTGAAGAAATATAGAATGATTGACTCTTGGTGGCCTCATCTATGTCCATTGATGAAGTTTAATACATAATTTGGTTTATTAATGAGCTCTCATTAGTATAAACAAAATAATAAACAGGAATATTCAATTTGAGCATTTGACCAGGTCTTTGGGCCAAAAAAGTATTTTATCTTTATTTTTTATTAGAAATTGCTTCTTAAATTACACCTTCACCCACACAATTTAAAACACAAGTAAAAATATTAGTGGATGTTGTGTGTGCTCATACATGCGCACAAACATTATTTTAATTATTTAAAAAATGTCTTTTTTTTATTTTCTTATAAAAGACAGTTTATTCAAAATAGTTTTCCGTTTTGTTTTCTTTCAGAATTTCTTTTTGATGCAGTATATTTTGCAAGACATTTTCACTTTTATCCATTAAATAACCAGTGTCTTGCTACACTGACTGAATAGAAAAAGTATAAACACTTTTGCAACAGTCTGATTTAGAGTGTCACTGGGATTTACTGGCCCTGGTGACACACTATTAAAGATTTAAAAAGAAGCAGAGCCATTTCAAAGACTGGGCCCGTCTAAGAGGAGAGGACATCTGTGGTCAGGTGGCATTAGGAGGAGCGGTCGTCGTGGGGGCTGCCGTCTGAGTTCTCTGTATCCCCCTCTGAAATGGCTTGCATGGGGGCGGTATAGAGCCGACTGCGTGTGCTGTACCGACTGCTGTTGGCCACTGGGGGGATCCGAGAACGCCCCTGACGAGACGCAGCGGACATCGGCAGCGTTTTGGGAGTGAAACTTTCTGTGTTTGCTCTGGGAAAGAGGCCAGGTATGTGGACTGGCTCCAGGTTAGATAAAGTGGCTTCCTGGAGTGTAGAGGACAGTTCTTCAGCTTGTCTCATGGGCCCTTCGTGGAGCGACTCCCCGGGCGTTTTGGGGGTTATAGGACTCTTTAAAATCTCTATTGCTGACATGCGGTAGCTGGTGTCAGATCTACTACCCTTCTTTAGCAACAGAAGTTTAAATTCCTCATTTGAAGTGCTGGACTTTTTGGCACTACGGTAGATGGGCACTGGGACACGCTGTGCCCCAGCAGCGGAGGCCAGGGTGGCTGGAACACTGACTGGAGGGGCAGGAGGAACAGTGATGGTGGGGACACTACCACTGTTCACTGGGGCTGGAAGGCAGAGGCGAGACTTTGAGTTTATGTCTCCAGAATCTTTTCGACCTAGTACCTTTCTCTTGGATCTGAAAAAAACAACAACATAGAAGATAAAGCATTTGCAAAAATTATCACAATCAAAGCAAAGAGACTGAGTACCTGTGTATCATGGCAAACAAATCCTCTGTTGTACGACTCTTATTGGGGGATGTTATAATGATGTCGTCATCCATTTTGGAGTCGTCCATCACAGGTGAGAGTGAATTGTCACTGGGAGTAGAATCTGAAGGAAATATCACCATATCAAATGTTGTGATTTTGGATGAA